TGCATATTGCAGATCAAGTCAAATTTGAACTGGGTAGCTGGTGGCTCATGCCTATAGTTCTAAGCCAACTTCGCAGGAAAGCTTGTGAAACTCTTACCTCCAAATAACCACCAAAATGTCAGAAATGGAGTAGTTCAAGTGGCAAGCACCAGCTCTTCATTTTGCCTTGAACAAAACAGCTGGGAGCTCAAGGCCCTGAGTTCAAGCCCCAGTACTGGCATACATAAAAAGTTTCAAAAATGTGACTCATTTTCCCCCTCATATATATTGACTGAAAAATCTAATTCCTGCATAAGGTATAATGCCATTGAAATGTTTTAAAGGTGCTTTAAGTGAAATGAACCAGATAGAATGTGATTACACTGCACAACCTATGCAGATTACAATGAAATATGGAATGGACTGGGGTTATTTAACTCAGCACTTCCCCTTCCCACCTGTCAATCATTGGAGTAAGTCTCAAGAGCTCAAACTCAAGGGCACACTAACTCAGTGCAAATAGACCACCAGTTCAGACGTGCCCAAGGTTACCAGAGACATAACAGCTCTCGTGTGCAGTGCTCATGTGTGTGCTGACTGCACTCACAGCCAAGCAAACGCTCAGCTCATCCTGAGGACTGGAGCCTCATCTAGGGAACTGGGATGTTACAAGGCTTCTGGAACAATGATGAAGACCTTAATCTGTGACCCTTATGTGCCTGTGAATGCTTCCCAAGTTTCAATCCCTTTAGTGTTGTCATTGTTTAACACTTCATAGTACCCTATGAGCATTAGAACAGGACCAACAGGAACAAGCTTGAGCAAGAGGAAGCAGAAGAGTTCGGCAGCTTCTTTGTAAAATGGCATGATCTTGAGGGGGAAAGAAAAACTTCTTGGAAGCTGCCTAGAAAGGTATCTATCCTTTGCTGGCACCTAAATGAAAACCATGTCAAAATAAAACAAGGTATCTCAAAGAAAACAAGTATTTCAAGTCTTGTTTTGTAGCTTTTAAAACTACGATTAAGCTGGGCAACAATGGCTCACACCTGTAATCCTAGCTACTCAGGAGGCTGAGACCCTTACCTCCAATAAACTACTCAGAAAAGGCTCAAAGTGGCACTATGGCTCAAGTGGTAGAGCACTGGCCTTGAGCAGAACTTCAGGGACAGTACCTAGGCCTTGAGTTCAAGCCCCAGGACTGGCAAAAAAGTAAAATAAAAAACAAAAAATAAAACCATGATTAAAAATCCTAAGTGTGGCTGGGCACGGTGATGCGCCCTTATAATCCCAGCACTTGAGACTGGCAGAAAAATTTTGTGTGAGGCTAACCTGGGCTACACAGCCAGACCCTCTCTAAGTAAAAGAACAAGTACTTTAGAAATTTGCTACACATTATCAACGGCTATTCATGAAGTCCATGATGTAGTCACTCCCCTACATCAAGCTCTCTTCCCAACTTTTAAAATTTTATTAGGAATTATATACATACAAAAGCACAAAAACATACAGCTTAAAGAAAATGCCCATCCAGCTTCGGAAGCAGAGCACCACCCACTCCTCTGAAGTCGCATGTTTTTGCCCAGACCACATCTCCCTCCAAGCTCCCAATGTCAGTACCAGCTAACATCAAAACTGTGTCACCACCGGTCCTTTGTTTTGCTTTATCATATATTTAATGTTTACCTTCACAAAATAACCACAGTGAATATACCGTGACTTGCAGCTAATGTAACACTGTTGAACCATCCCCATCACGAGCTGTAGTTCAGTTTCTTTCTGTGAATTCTGTGGTAGAAATGTAGTGTACTATTTACCCAACATAATGTTAACTGGGGTCTTCACAGGCTTTTTTCCCCCCTGTTTGTATTTTCCCCCTTTTTAATTTTTTTCTTCCTATTACAAATGATGCCATTATGACTTTATTTTCATTTCCTAGCACACATGTAAGAGTTTGTCCAGGATATGAACCTAAGGGCAAGTTATGGCACACATCCAGATATGCCAAACTATGTCCAAAGCTATTGTTCCTAAATTAATCTGTTGACAATTTAACTACTTGGGATGGCTGAAGGGAAAAATAAATCAACTATGACTCTTAAAAGGCATTTTTAAGAAAGAAAAATCAAAATTCTGACACATCAATGAAAAATACATTTATTTCTCTGCTTTGACTTACTTGAAATGTACTTTAAAATGTCACATGTTCAACTTAAAAGCACTGTCTCCTATATCTCAAAATAAATGTTTCTAAAATATAATGAAAAGGCAAGCTTTGGAACATATGGGGGTATCATATATAAAAAGACATCTACACATATATTCTTATATCCCCCACAACCTATCCCACCCCCACCCCACCCCCCCAAAAAAGAACCACTTGGAAGAATAGTTAACAGAAGGAGTTCCTGGAGAGAAGGAACAGAGGGACAGGACAGAAGGAAGACACAGGTCACTAAACACTCCCGTTTGAAAACCATGTGCATTCATACTGCTGTATTTAAACCAAGAGCAAGCATTACAATTGTAATACAAAATTAAAAATATATAGTCACCCTGGGTCCTTTTGCAAGCAAAACTCAAAACCTAAAAACCAACCTTAAATGAAGTTCCAACTGACAGAATACACAAGTATTTTCAAGTGTTTGTTTCATGCGTGTAATAGGTATCTAAAATATACTCACATATACCTTATCTAGAATTTATTTTTTAAAAACAGAAAGATGAACTAAACATTCTACCATAAGTTTCTCCATCTTTAGTCTTGGACCAGACATAGCTCAGCTCAATGCACCTGTGATACAAGTGTTCTCAGACCTTGCAAATAAGGCTGGTGTCCTACTATGTGACATCAACTGTATTTTAAGATTGCCTACAGGTGAATAATATTTTAAGGAGAGAAGGTGATGTCTAGGCTGAGCAACCCTATTAAGTTATTATGAGCTCAAGAATAAGGTTTTCAATTTAACTGAAAAATGTGACTTTAATCTGTTTGAAGAAAAAACAAAAAGGTGCATTATGTCTAGTCTATCTGCTTCCACAGGAGACAGACGTACTCTATTACCTAGGCCTCCACAAAAGAAATGCATTACTGGACCAGTACTATAGTTTAGCTATGGTGAGTAAAATCCCATACTTTGTAAGAATGAACTGTTAAAGGAATCTTTGTTTTTTTTATCATACATGTGAAATTATTTACAGATTAAATCCATGGTACAAATAAAAGACATTTGATAGACACATGAACATGCACACACACATGCATACACATACACACAGAGGCCATGAATCTCAATGGTGATGAGTTTTAGAGGCTAATTATGCCACTATTTGTCTTAAAATTTCCAAAATTAAAAAGAAACTGATTTCAATCTTCCCTAGTAATTTTTCTGGTTAATTAGAGTTGGTTCTCCGAAGAGAAAGGACACAAACATATTAACCAACTATTTTTTTGTGCACACAGCAAAATGCATTTCTAATGTAGTAAATTATCAATCCTCATGTCTACACCTGATTCTTGGGACTTTGGTTAGTAAGAATCAGTGTCTTTTGAACCAGATCAACTTAGGGTATAAATGATGTAAAATCTAAACGCATTCCAAAGTTAAGACAAGTCTTTAGCCATGGACACCCTAAGAAACCAGGTAGTTCAAATCCCAAATACTATCAATAGTTACTAAAACACTTAAGTGTTCATAGAAGTTATTTCACAGGAGCCCATCACTGTACTTCATTTACGTTAGCTATTGAGTCTAGATGAGGCAGAAAAGAACAAATTGGCATTTTTGTACTTAGTAGATTTCTTCTGTTTCTTGAATTACAACCTTGTCAAACTACAAAGCAGAGCTTAGAGGTTGGGCTGCTTGACTGTTAAGCTGTTGGGCTGTTAAGATTCTGTTTCACTGATGACCATAATCCTTGCGGGAATCACCTTCTGCAAATTCAGGAGGTTTCCTCATCTATTGCTGCATGTCTAGGATCAGCTAGGGAAGTGAAGAGGGCCATCCTCACAGCATTTTATTCTAGAGGGCCTTTAAAAATGATAGTTTCATTATTATTTTTTTGGTCAGTTGTAGGGCTTGAACTCTGGGCCTGGGCGCTGCCCCTGAGCTCTTCAGCTCAAGGCTAGTGCTCTACCACTTGAGCCACAGCGCCACTTCTGGTTTTCTGGTAGTTAACTGGAGATTAGAGTCTCATGGACTTTCCTGCCCGGGCTGGCTGTGAACCGTGATTCTCAGATCTCAACCTCCTTAGTAGCTAGGACTGATTAGAGGTGTGAGCCACCGGCACCAGCTGGCTTCATTATTTTTAAGTTTGGTAGATAATGTATCATTCAGTAAATCGTTACTGACCATACTGCCTATCAGAATGAACAACTGGTACCTATAATGAGGTACTGAACCAACAAGCAGATGCCAGACTCCATGTCTTAACATTCAATATGAAACATACAACTTGAATAAGCCATTTCATCTACTTACTTGGTTTATCTATAAGCTGGTGGTAAAATTCAACTATAAATCACAAGAAATTACCATGAATTATATACACATACATGTAGCTAGAGATTAACACTTTTATACAGTTGACGTTTCTACAAAGAGAGGTACAGGATTAAAACAAGACCCGAAACAAGAACAGCAAAAGTTCTTGAATGTTCTTCTACATTGTTTCATACCTAGTGGAAGATAGTGTTTGTCAGAGCTATTCGGAATCAACTACTACTAAAGGAATCTCTCAGGGATGTAAAAATATATTCTAATTCACTGCACATCTTCGCTATTAAAAGCAAAATGCAAATTTATTCATAACCCACACCCAAAAATTGAAGCACCATTATTTAAAACATCCAACTAGAAATTCTATAAAAATTACTTTTAAGTAGATAGAAAAAAAAGTACACTAATACCGCTAGTAATAGTGTACCTCTTATATTTAAAACAAGGGACTAGTTCAGAGTCAATAACTTTATTAGAAAAAGAGTAATACTAAAACTTTTCAATGACACAGACAAATCAACTCTGTAACAGAAAGTCAGAGATACTTTATTTTACTTCTAAATCCAAAGGCTAAGTATAGCAGAGTTGTAAAAAATGGAATCCCACTTAGTCTGATTCACATGAATACTAATGTTTAATCCTGTTTTCAAAGTCCAAGAATGAAAACTTGCAATTAAACACTGAGCGAGCCATATGTTTAGGTAATATTTCTTAAAAAGTCTTAAAGAGAAAATATGATACAGGACCTAAGTGGTATATATGCTATTAACACATGTTCTGAAATCTGGTAGGTCATATCAGTCCTGAATTAATTTTTAATTAAAAACAAAAAACAAAACCAAACTAACTGAGCTTTTTATACTTTTCTATGCAACTATAGCTTTCTTTCACCTCATTTTAATGTCGATCTTCACTTTATGCTGTTTTCAGTATTCTTCAAAAAATCTTCGAACAGTAGTCCTACAACGCAAAAGTTGGGGAAAAATGATAATTAGACAGCATATAAAAGGCAATGTTTTTATGACTAAGTGTTGGCCCAGTCACTAACTGCTAATAAGTAACCTGTGTATATGAAATGTCTGTATTTGTTTTTAAATAATCAAGACATCAGTGTGATCCTTATTGCTATGTGCCTGTGTAAACTTTCCTACATGAGAATGGCTCATACAGAATAGAACCCTATGTTGTTTTACTAGAAAAGGAACACTACCAATTCCTTTCATTAGGAATATTTTGTCCCACACCACTAGCCCAAAGAATGAATAGTGTAGAGGTTTTAAGAACACTTACAACACCTGGCTTTTTAACAGCTCTTTAAAAAACCCAAATTAATTCTAGACAGTTTATCAGTGCTTTGCATGTCACAGATTGGAAATGTCTTTCCTGCCTTTCACTGCTGCTTGTAATATATCAGCCAGTGACTATTCCTCTATTCCTATGGCTGACTGCAAATTCTCCTACACAGTAGGAAATATTAAACACATACCTCTTAAAGACTTGAGAATTGCATTGAATGTAACAAGTCGAATAATATGAAGTATTTACTGTATTTAAAATTCTTTAAAGATATCTAATTCTGGGCACCACTGCATCCCTACACACAGTTGAAAAAAAATTCCATTCTGTTAACATTTGATTTGTAAGTTTTCACGCAATACACAAAAAACCCCTCTGTGCTTCTTGTAAAGAACAAAAAAGATACACAACAGTTAAGCGTAAAAGATCACAGGCAATAGCATTCAAACATGGATGTGGGTAGAGAAAGGAGTACCTGGCATGAGTACCTGCTTAGTTTGACTGAATCCTTGATTTTTAATTTGGCTTTTCATGGGCCGCTCACAACACCAACGCTGTGTGAGGTATGGTAGTCAGCTGCAATAATTCATAAACCCTACACTTCCATCAATCCAATGCTACTGGCTCTCGAGTTACAGAACAAACTGCATTAGAATGCAAGGCAATAAAGCAAAAAACTAGAAACATCCTTGACAAAGAAATACTAGCAGTTTTAATTAAAGCAAAATAGTCCAACATGTGCCTCAGAAATAGTTAAGGTTTTAAAGCATATGTCTCTGCCAATGTACCAACACAAGATGGACTTAATACCAAAAATAAAAAAATAAAAAACAGTTCAACCTTTTTATTAAAAAAAAAAAGAAATGACAGCAAAATCCCTAAAAAAAAGGATAATTAACTTTTTAATGGCGACTATATTACAAATGTGGGCAATATTTTCCAAAGAGGCACACTAATGGGGGCACGAGTCTGCTACAAAATAGCTGAGACAAAACAATGTACCTCAAAATGTTTTGCAGGACTACACTGTCTTTTCCTTCAGAAGATGCTTTTGTTTGTCTTCTTACTCGGCTTAGTTCCATCTTCATCTGTGCATACTTACGCTGCACTGTCAAACAGTAACAAAAAGCCCTAATCAAAGTGAGAAACAATACACTTACCTCTGTCTGATCTGAGGTCTTATCAGATCAGTTTTAATTGGACTGAGTGTCACCTTCAGATTTAATGTCTTCACTGGTCCCATTGACCTCATTCTTAGAAGCACTTTCCTTCGATTCAGTGTTTGTGTCTTCACTCTGTTTTTCTCGACTACTGGACTTCACACTACTTTTTTTATCATCAGATCCCCTCTTTTCTGCCATGAAAGAAGACATTGACCATAGACTTAAAGTACAATAATTATATTATTTTGAAAGTGAAACAACTGAGAGACGAAAGACAATTGTTTTTCAGACTACAAATACTGAGTTTACTGAATTTACCAAGAGACGCAACTTATAAATTATAAAAGAGAGAGCAAGAAGAAAATTAAAAGCAGTAAGTAAAATAGTGAATTCTCTCAAACTGGAAAAGCTAATATGTATGTTGTAAAATCTAAAATCTAAACAAATTTCATTTCAGATAAAGAACACAAATTTCATTTTAGAAAAGAACACGAAAGGGAAGGCTATAAGAAGATAGAACACAAAACTGTACAAGGTTAAATTACGTTAGAAGGGTAAAAATAGTAACCTGGGGGAGGGGGAGCTGGAATGTTTAGTAGACATGGTCACCCAATCAGATATTTTTTTTCCTTCCCCTTTTTAAGGTACTGGGATTTTAAACTCAAGAGCTAATAAATGGCTCAGCAGGAGTGATACCACTAAGCCATACCTCCAGACATTTCATGGTTACTTTTCAGGATAGGGTCTCACATCCAAGTAAACCCTTCATCTGTGATCTGCCTTACTTTAGGCTTCCCACTCTCTCTGGGATCCCAGACACATACAATAGCATCCAACTTCCCTCTTTGGGGATGGTATCTCAGACTGGCCTGACACTACAATCCTCCTAATTTCAGCCTCTCCTGTAGCTTGGAATGATAGGTACACACCACTGCTCTCCTGATTATGAATTCAGAAGGTCTGACAGACTTTTCTGCTAAGCTAGCCTCAAACTACAATCCTCCTGATCTTAGCCTCCCAAGTAACTAAGATTCTAAAGGTGTGAGCAACTGGTGCCTAACTCCAATCACATATTTTTAAATACAAAAGCTTATATTTGTTTAAATATCCTATGGCTAACATTAAGAAAATAGATCTTTCTTTTGAGCCACCTAATTTGAGCCTACCTTTTCCATAAACAGTGTACTTCCTATTAACCTCCTTGCTTCATTAACTTTAACCAAAGTGTGCAGGTCTAACAATGAAAAGCCCCTATAACTGATTTTAAAAAGAAAAAGTATTTAAATCAATTTAAAGCAATTAAATCTTTGTGTGCTTTACTAAGAACATCAACAACTTTATCTAAGAGTTATTTGCCCAAAAAGAGACATTTCAATTTCCCCCCCCTATTTCCCCTACTTTAGGCAAGAGGCAAAGTGGTACAAAGAACATGTGTACTCTAGCCTTTTTGGTCTTAAGTATCCCCCTGGCAGAAGATTTCTTCAGAAAAATGATAAAGCAAACCAGAAATTTTTTGCGTAAGTTATTTTTCCTTAAAAACTAAGAAAAACTAGTATACCCAGTAGATTGTTAAGATTGAAAGATGTTCAAATACTGGACAAAGCCATTATCACATAACACTAAATAACTTGGGAGAGAGGGATGGAAACCAAACAGTATGGTACGGGAGGGGCCTCTTTTTAATTAAAGTGTAAGAACTGAAGGTCTCAATGTGATAGAGCATATTCAGCCCAACACTTGCTAACTATTCAAAGCAATGTGTAGGTAAATATGAAACTTGCTTCATATCTGTCTGACCACTTGTGGGAACTGTGCTCTAACTGACCTTGTGGACAAGTCCTCCCTTTGTGCCTTATGGGCTTCTCCGATGCACAGGTAGCTTCAATGAGGAAGAGTCGTCTTGTTGCCCCGTAGAGGACTAGTAGTCAGTCCAATAATCTTATCTTCTGTCCTATGTAAATATGGTAAATCTTAATAGTCCTAAGGACATCTCTAATGTGTGGTGGATTTTAGAGCTATGAATTAAATGAAAACTCTCTTTACAAAGAGAGAACCTTAAGCTGGCTTATGATTAAGATACCTTTGTGTGGAAAATCACTTCTCATTTGTGGAGTTAAACTGCTTCCATTACAGCACCTAGAATAGTAACCATAGTCTTACTCATCTGCATTATCAAATGCCTCCTACTGCTCATATTTGGCCACAAAGCCCAGACTTCAGTCATCACTTATATACTCAGGAATACCTAGATGGCTACAAGGAATTTCCAAAAGTCAACTAACCTGTTTTATTTCTAAAAGTGACCTCCCCTCCCCTAAAGCTTAAGACAACACTATAATTGCATTTCTAATCATTCTAGATACATCTGACAGAAAAGCATATAGTCTTCTCTTCTTTAAGACTCACCAGAGCATCCAGCATCTGTCCATAATCTAACTCAGTTTATTTGGCTTAAAATTTGGCTTAAACAGAATAATTGTACTACATTCTACAGTGCCATCATTACTGGAATTACAAGTAAGCAATTCAAGACTTTATCCAGAAATTACACAAATGTTCTTGCTTTTAGGCAGACAGCCAGTGCAATTCACAACTCAATTCTAAGTTCACATAGTTATGAAAGCTAGCTAGCTTTTGTTAAAAAGAATTGACCCAATTTAGGTGGCACAAATGGAACAGAGCACATAATCTAACAAGGAAACAGGATTAAAAATTTCTCATAGAGCCTGGCGCAGGTGGCTCATGCCTGTAATCCTAACTACTCAGGAGCCTGAGATCTGAGGATCACGGCAGGAAAGTCCCTGACTCTTATCTCCAATAAACCACTCAGAAAACCAGAAGTGGCGTAGTGACTCCAGTGGTAGAGCGCTAGCCTTGAGGTGTAGAACCAAGGGAGAGTGTTCAGGCCCAGAGTTCAATCCTTATGACCAACCAAAAAAAAAAAGCAAAACACTAATGCAAATGGCCAGGTATAGTGGGGTGCATGCGTAATCTCAGCAGTTCTGAGGCCAATGCAGGATTATGAATTTGAGGCCAGCTCAGGTTACATAAAGAATTCAAGTCAGAGTTTACTAATGTACATTGGCATCCCTTTATAGAAACAGCTATTCTTTGGGGCTGGAAAGATGGCTCAGTGGTACAGAGCATGCCCTGCATGCATGAGGCCCTGGGTTCGATTCCTCAGCACCACATAACCCCCCCCCCCCAAAAAAAAGCCGGAAGTGGCGCTGTAGCTCAAGTGGTAGAGTGCTTGCATTGAGCTGAAGAGCTGAGGGACAGCGCCCAGGCCCAGAGTTCAGGTACCATGACCAGGCCCCCACCAAAAAACCAAAACAGCTATTCTTTTTCTTTTTTTTGTTCGTCATGGGGTTTGAACTCTGGGCCTGGGTCCCTTAGCTCTTCAGCTCAAGGCAAGCGCTCTACCACTTGAGCTACAGCCCCACTTCCAGTTTTCGGGTGGTTTATTAGAGATAGGAGTCTCATGGTCTTTCCTGCCCAGGCTGGCTTTGAACCGCGATCCTCATATCTCAGCCTTCTGAGTAGCTAGGATTACAGGCGTGAGCCCTGCCAGCTTTCTTTTTCTGATTGGCAGTGCTAGGGACTAGACCCAGGGTCTCAAGCATGTTAAGCAAGCTCTCTACATCACTGATCTACATTTCCAACCTAGCAACTGTCTTTTGAATCATAGGGCCATTCCCAAATTTAAAAATCAAACACTAAAGCTTCTAAGAATAGATTAATTCGTTCCACATTACAGAATAGGCTAATATCTATTAAAAAAAAAGTGTGTGTGTGTGTGTGTGTGTGTCTATGTATGCACATATTTTTTAAATAGTTTATAAGGAAAGAAGTCCACTGCTTGTGGTACTAGTTCTGTCTCAAGCAAAACACATTAAGTCTAACCAAACTGAATAGATATAATATAAAAGAAACATCACATAAAAAAGGCCAACATACAACTCAAATAGCACATATACTATATTGTAATCAGATGTGGACACAGACAGGCAAAACTGGATGGAGCAAACAGAGCTGAGTTAGAAACCAGCTCTTTCTCATTTCTAAAATCATGCAAAAGCAGAACAGTTCAGCTCATATAAAATGGAAGATGATAAAAATAATCTGAAAACAAAACTGACTGAAAAGAATACTTTTTCATGAAGAACTAAAAGAGGAGTACATTTTTGTTAAGACACACCAAAGGTCCATTTACAAGTCCATTAATAGTGCTAACAGCACAAGCTGCTGGAAAGCCACAGAACATCAAGGAAAAGGTAGAAAGGAAAGTGAATGTTTACTCAGTGTAAAACTTGGGTAAAGCACTTGGAAGGTATTCAACTTCTAGAAACTTATATAGTTAACAATTAGAGGCAAGTAAATGCTGCATACCAGAATCAACACAACAATGTACATTTACTTTATAAAATATCATGAGTATGTTTTTTTTTGGTGCCAGTCCTGGGATTTGAACTCAGAGCTTTTTTGATGTTTAATTGGAGATCAGAGTCTGACAAGACTTTCCTGCCCAGACTGAGTATATAGATTTATAGGCATGAGACACCAGCACCTGGCTGAATGCTTATTTTTTAAAAAAACGAGCCAAATAATGTAATAAATTCTACAGTCTCATTATCCTGAAAAGTGATACAACACTTAAAAGAAACTACATAAAAAACTTTCAGGTTACTGGTTCAAGGCTGTAACTTTAACATGTCAAGAAAACATGTCAAATGGGGCTGGGAAGGTGGCTCAGTGGTAGAGTGCTTGCCTTGCATGCATGAGACCCTGGGTTCGATTCCTCAGCACCACATAAGCAGAAAAAGCCAGAAGTGGCACTGTGGCTTAAGTGGTAGAGTGCTAGACTGGAGCTGGAGGCTGAGGGACAGTGTCCAGGCCCAGAGTTCAGGCCCTATGACTGGCAAAAAAAAAGAAAAAAGAAAAAGAAACGTCAAATATCATTCTCACAAATTAGAAGCAGTAGAGGTAAGAAGAATGTCTTTTACTGAATGGTGCTTCTTAAAAGTGTAAAGGAACGTAGCTTGAAATAGAATCTGGCTGCCTCTGAAGAAAAGTACACAGAAGAAAAGTTGTGAAAATAAGCTTCTTGATGAACCAAACTCATGTAAACTAACCTTTCTCCTTGGATTTTCTATCTTGTTCTCTGTCCCGACTTTTGCTCCTGTGCTTATATGACTTTCGATCCCGGCTTTTTGACCTTCTTCGATCCCGACTTCGAGATCTATGTTTTCTTTCTGATCTGTCATGACTTCTGCTTCTTCGTCGATCTCTACTTCTTAATAATTTAAGAGAAAGGAGGACAACTGTCAGCTGGTGTTACAATGAAAAAGACTTTAGGAAGTATGCATTATTGAATAATTATCAAAATTAAACAAAATTCATCACTTAAGCCAGGCACTAGTAGCTCCCACTTACAACCCTAGCTGCACAAGAGGGTGATATCAGAGGATCACAGTGTGAAGCCAGCCTGGCAGAAAAGTCTGCGAGATATTACAATTAACCAGCAAAAAAAGCCGGAAATAGAGCTGGAGCTCAAGTGGTAGAAAAAAAGTCTTAAGCATAAGTTTTGGGGCAGCACCCAGGCCCTGAGTTCAATCCCCAGGAGAGGCACATAGGCATACAAACGTGCACCACACACTCCACACCCACTTTCCCTTAAACAAGTATATAAAATTTTCTAACAGTTTTCTTTTCTTGGAGGAATGCAGTGGTCATTAGTGGGACTGTAACTTAGGGCTGGGTGTTATCCTTGAGCTTTTGTGCTCAAGGTTAGTGCTCTACCACTTTTTGTTTTTTTTTTTTTTTTTTCTGTTGGTCTTGGGGCTTGAACTCTGGGCTTGGGCGCTGTCCCTGCTCTTCAGCTCAAGGCAAACCCTCTACTGCTTGAGCCACAGCATCACTTCGGGTTTTCATGTGGTTTATTGGAGATAAGAGCCTCACAGACTTTCCTGCCTGGGCTGGCTTTGAACCACGATCCTCAGATCTCAGCCTCCTGAATAGCTAGTATTACAGGCATGAGCCACTGGCACCCGGCTTGCTCTACCACTTTTGAGCTACAGTTCTACTTCTGGTTTTCTGATGGTTAATGGGCTGGCTTTGATCCTCAGGTTTTCTGGTGGTTAAAGGACTGGCTTTGATCCTCAGATTTCAGTCTCTTGAGTAGCTAGGATTACAGAGGTAAGCCACCAGTGCCTAGGTTTTTTCCTAATAAATTTTACATTATAAATCTTAAGAATTGAGAATTACTGAAACTCTAAACTCGACTCACCTCAAATAACGTTGTGTCATCACTGTGTTCAAGACTCCTTGATTTTAATGCTAATTAAAATAGTAAAATTGATTTCCTGTATTATGTCTTCCTGAACCCAGTGCAAAGAGATGTATAGGTGACCATCTGGTATCCTTGCTGCCTTAAAAGCCTGTCTCAGCTGGGCGCCAGTGGGCCATGCCTATAATCCTTACTATTCAGGAGGCTGAGATCTGTCTGAGATTAGTGATTCAAAGCCAGCCTGGGCAGGAAAGTGTGCAACTCTCCAATTAACCAGAAAACCAGAAGTGGCAGTGTGGCTCAAACTGGTAGAGTGCTAGTCTTGAGCAAGAGAGTTCAGAGACAACGCCATGGCCACGAGTTCAAGCCATATGACAGATTTTAAAAAAAAACCTCTCCAACTTCAATAGACAGGACCTAGCAAAGAAGCTGCCCTAAAACCACTCACTGATTCAAATCTTATCATCTAGCACTTAATGATGGAGTATATGACTTATGTTTTAACTTACAACATTTTGATTTTATGATGGCATACAAGTGTATGTATAGTGAGAAAAATCCAATTCAGAATTTTTCTTTTCCAAGGCTAGCAATAATGCTATCCTAGTGCTGGGTAGCCATGCAATCACAAAGTAAACATCTTACAACATACTGTGTTGTTAACACTATTGGTCTATTTCAACTTCCAATATTTTTTATTTATAACAAGGTTACCTAGTATAATAGCACCATAAGTGGAACACTGATACTTAAAGAGCTTCTTCATACCATTAAAGGACAGCACCAGCAATAGTACTTGTTTACTGTGCCCTCATGAGCTACACATTGCTTTTTAGCTTTTGTGTACCTGCTTCTCCTTCTTTCCCTACTTCGTGATCTTTTGTGGTCCCGAGATCTGCTGCATCTGCGGTCAGAAGTGCGGCTTGAGTGTCTACTTCGTGAACGACTTCTCTTTCTTCTTTCTCTATCACGAGCTCTTTCTTTCTCTCTCTCTTCCTCTTCTCTTCGTCTTTTCCTTTCCCTTTCTTCTCGTTCTCTCTCTCGTTCTTTTTCTCTTTCTTCTCTTTCTTGTTTCTCCTTTTTTAGACGCTCATCTCGATCAGGTTCTTCAGTTCTTTTCCTTAATTTTTCCTGAAAAAAATCAAATTAGATTTTCCTTTGTTGTGGTGCTAGGGACAGACTTGACAGCCTCAGGATATTAGGCAAAGTCTACCAGTGAGCTACCTTCACACCCCTCAAATTGGGATTTTAGGTAACTCTAATCTTAAAAGACATTGTTCAACAACAATCGTTTAATGTAAAGATGTAGTCAGGTGCTGGTGGCTCACGCCTAACTACTCAGGAGGCTGAGATATAAGGATCACAATTCAAAGCCAACTCAGGCAGGAAAGTGCCTGAGATTCTTATCTCCAATAAACCACTCAGAAAACTAGAAGTAGTGCAATAGCTCAAGTGGTAGAGCGCTATGCTAGCCTTGAGCTGGAGAGCTGAGGGACAGTGTTCAGGTCCAGAGTTCAAGCCCCATGACCGACCCCCCCCCCCCCCCCCGCAAAAAAAATTATAATGTAAAGATGTATGTAGTCCCAATTTTAGGAATCTGGTGTACTGCAAGGGAATGGAGAAACTCAAACACTGTGTATATACACTACACAAGAAATCATTACTTGGGGCTAGGAAGGTGGCTCAGTGGTAGAGCACTTGCCTTGCATGCATGAGGCCCTGGGTTCGATTCCTCAGCACCACATAAGCAAAAAGAAAAAAGCCGGAAGTGGCGCTGTGGCTCAAGTGGTAGAGCGCTAGCCTTGAGCTGAAGAGCTGAGGGACAGCGCCCAGGCCCAGAGTTCAGGCCCCACAACTGGACCCAAAAAAAAAAAAGAAATCATTACTTGACTAATTTATGGGAAAAGTCTTAAAAAAATTCTAGTGAAAGTAAAGAAAGTAGAGTGTTTTGATAGTTTGATGAGCAGCAAAATTTCATCCAAGATCACTATGGTTTTCTTAGTGCTAGGGACTAAATCCAGTGCCTTGGCCATGCTAAACAAGCCCTCAACACTGAACTACATCCCTAACTTACCACTGCTTAAATAATAAAAATCACCAGAATATCAACACAGTATTTTTATTTTCCTGTGTTCAAATTTTAGCTATGCTGACATACAGCTATTTTTAGTGATGTCTAGTTATAGTTAAAGAGTTAGTATTTTTATTTATTTGTCACGGTGCTGGAACTCAGGGTCTAGGCACTGTCTCTGAGCTTTTCTCTCTTAAGGCTAGTGCCTTAAGAACCACAGTGCCACTTCTGGGTTTCTAGTGGCTAACTGGAGAGAAGAGTCATATGGACTTTCCTGCCTGGGCTGGCTTCAACCTGTGATCCTCAGATCTTCGCTTCCTGAGTAGCTAAGATTATAGGCATGAGCCACCAGTGCCTGGCTAGAGTAGTTAGTTTTAGCTACAGCTAAAATACAGGTTTCTTATAAACTTTTTTTGATGGTACTAAGGATTAGACCTAAGACAACCAATGTACTTGCTAGGCAAGAATGTCATCATTTGAGCTAGTTCACATCCCAAAACTTACTTTTAATTCTTCTACAGTAGCTTTAATTTTGGCATAGCCCATGTGTTGTTTTCCCATCAAATGATCATCTACCCGTGACTGGGCATCTCCTACTATCAAAAAGGCTCCACACACTTCACAGACTTCCATTTGTTTTTCTTGGGCAGCAAAACTTTCGATTGTCTGAAATGACAAGTCAGTTGTTATAAGAATACCTATGAAAGAAAGAATAGCAAATCAAAAAAAAAAAAAAAACAAAAACCCACACATTTAGAACAGATTTGGTAAAAGTAGTATTTAGAGTCTATTTTTTAAATTTTTTTATTGTAAAAGTACTGTACAAAGGGGTTACAGTTACATAAGCAAGGTAATGAGTACATTTCTTATCCAGCATTGTTGCCTCCTCCTTTGTTTTCCCCTACCATCCCTTCACTCCCACCTCCTCAACTACACCCCCCACCCCACCCCCAGCCTATTTCTAATGAATCTAAAAGCTGTAAATATCCACCAAAGTTGTAATTTTGGATATTAACTGGACTTTTATAGCGGGAAGCATGGCAAAAGCAACCAACCTGAACATCCTCCAGGGAAAGCGCTAAAACCATCGGTCAACTTCAACTGTTGAATACTCATGCTGCCTTGGAAATTTTCAACTTCTAGAAAGTTATCGTTTTAGTCTAAATTAATTTCTTACATGAGCTTAATATGTGTGCTGTATAAATACTAACATATCATTAATAAGAACTGGGAATGTGGCTTAGTGGTAGAGTGCTTGCCTGTAGAATGCATGAAACGCTGGGTTCGATTCCTCCATACCACATACACAGAAAAAGCTGGAAGTGGCACTAAGGCTCAAGTGGTAAGAGTGCTTGAGCAAAAGAAGCTCAGGGACAGTACCCACGCCCAAAGACCCAGGACTGGCCAAAAAAAAAAAAAAAAAAAGTAAAACCCGAACTTAAATATTTATGATTTAATGTGAGTTAGCAAGTCAGCAGTCAAAACAGCTTTTGTTTTTTTGGTCGGTCATGGGCCCGAATGCTGTCCCTCAGCTCTTCAGCTCAAGGCTAGCGCTCTACCACTTGAGCCACAGTACCACTTCCAGCTTTTTCTGCTTATGTGGTGCTGACGAATCAAACCCAGGGCCTCATGCATGCAAGGCAAGTGCTCTACCACTGAGCCACCTTCCCAGCCTCTCAAACAGCTTTTGTAAATAAGTATTTTATTGAGCTGGGTGTTGGTACCTCATACCTGTAACCCTAGTTTCCCTCAGGGGGCTGAGATCTGCATATTGCTTTTCAATGCCAGTCCAGGCAGGGAAAGTCATGAGCATCTGAACCAAAATAAATCCAGAATTGGAGCTGTGGCTCAAGTGGTAGAGCACTAGCCTTGAGCACAAAAGCTCACAGATAATGCCTAGGATCTGAGTTGAAGTCCCAGGACTACAACTCCCCGCCTGCCTCCTCCCCAAAAAAAATTACTGGGAGGGGCTGGGAAGGTGGCTTAGTGGTAGAGTGCTTGCCTTGCATGCCTGAGGCCCTGGGTTTGATTCCTCAGTACACATAAGAAAAAAGAAAAAGCCGGAAGTGGCGCTGTGGCTCAAGTGGTAGAGCGCTAGCTTTGAGCTGAAGGACAGCGCCCAGGCCCAGAGTTCAGGCCCCACGACCCTCCTCCCCCCCCCCCCCCCCCCGCAAAAAAAAAAATTACTGGGAACGTAATCATAACCATTTCTTCTGTACTGTCAGTGGTAAGATATTTTTTGCTACTTTTCATCTGTGGCCCTGGCTCATAACTTTCTCTTTAAGGAAAAGTTCTAACTTGTCTTCCTTAAGGCAGGTCACAGAAACTTCGAATATTCTCTTACCTCCCTGGATCTTGGAGCCAGACATAAAGTAATACTCTGACCTATCTTGTCTGACAGATCAGAAAACCCTTATTTCAGAAGTGTTCTTATCCCATAAAAGAAAGGAATGCTGCACATAGGGGCCAAGAAAAATCTCCACAGTAAATCTTATTGGTTTTCCCTACTCAGTCTATTTGCAAACATCATGTTCTTTTAGTCAAATCACATTGTGTCTATGTTTCATAATGTATATGCAAGTAAGATTAAAAAACAAAAAAGCACAAAGAGCTTCCCGATAACTGAACACCTGGGGGTTCCTAGAAGGAACTTTGTAGTACTGGTATACTTGTTTCAGAGTAGCTGAACCCCAGGTGAGGGCTTGCAAACTGATAACCAGTAAGAAGCACAGGTAAAAAGAACCTGGAGGGGCTGGGAAGGTGGCTCAGTGGTAGAGCACTTGCCTTGCATGCCTGAGGCCCTGGGTTCGATTCCTCAGCACCACAGAAGCAAAAAGAAGAAAGCCTGAAGTGGTGCTATGGCTCAAGTGGTAGAGCGCTAGCCTTGATCTGAAGAGCTGAAGGACAGCGCCCAGGCCCAGAGTTCAGGCCCCATGACTGGACCCCCCACCCCCCCAAAAAAAGAAGCTGGAATATATAAATGGCATTTAATGATCTGATATGGACATGCGTGTATATTGAGGGAACAAACACATGCACGAAATCTTAAGGATTAAGTATGGTCTGACATTACTTCAGGTAGTTTAAGCATATGAACTGAAGTAAGTAAGAGACACCACAGGCTGTTGTCTGCTGCTGCAGAACTGATGGCTAGTTTGCTGATAGGGTGAAAACACTACACATTCTGGAATCACAGAAATATTCAGGCTGCAGATATAGCTCAGTAGCATAAAACTTGTCCTGCAAGCATTAAGCCCTGAGTTTAATATCCAACACAAAAAAGGAAATATGTATTGATATATATATTATAGAGAGAGAAAGAGAAAGAGGGGGGAGGGAAGGAGGGAGAAACAGTCTGAGGTTGTTTTCCTTTTCATTCTTTATCTTCAGGTTAGGTAAGGCTGCTTTGGTGATGCAAAACAGAGCTCAGCAGCCATCAAAGACCTTTTCATATCTAAAACATTGTATCTTTATCTAAAACAAAATGTTTTCAGTTGGTTGTCTGCCAACCAAAAACATTATTTGGCCCTTAAAAAAATGGAGGCATAAGCCGGGTGGCTCATACCTATAATCCTAGCTACTCAGGAGGCCTGAGGATCACAGTTCAAAGCCAGCCCAGGCAGGAAAGTCCGTGACACTCTTATCTTCAATTAGCCAAAACCAGAAGTGGCGCTGTGGCTCAAGTGGTAGAGCATTCACCCTGAGCTGAAGAGCTCAGGGACAGCACCCAGGCCCCAGAGTTCAAGCCCTACGACCAACAGAAAAAAAAAAAAAAAAATAGAGGCATGGCTCAAGTGGTAGACTGCAAGCCAATGAGGAAAAGCATTGGGTAGCAAGTTTGAACCCCAGTCTTGGACCAAAAATAAATGTTTTGATGATTTGTAATTCAGAACATTAAATCTCAACTAATTCACAATAAACAAGTTAAATAATTGTAAAAGTTTATTACTTACCGAGGTTGTGGATCTAAGTAATTCTCTCTCTTCTTTTAACTGTTCAACTAATTTCATCATTCCCTGGGCTTCTTCTACCTTTCCTTCAGATCCTAATTCCTCAATCTATGAAAGAACAAAAAATAGTTAAAATTCTTTCCTAATCAAACTGTTTTCCTCTACATCTCATTAGCATTTAGTGATTTTGTTTTCTGAAACTTGTTTGGATTTATTCCTTGTGACTTTTTTACAGCTTTCATAACATGCAACAAAATTATGTGCAATTTGATTAGTGTGGACATATGCAATACGTACACGAAATCATCAGCACCATCTAGATAATGAACACATCCACCCGACAAAAGCTATCCTCAGCCAGAGCACTAACTACTCAGGAGACTGAGATCTAAGAATCGAGGTTCAAAGCCACCCAGGCAGGAAAGTCCATTAACCACCAGAAAACTAAAGTGGTGCTGTGGCTCAAAGTGGTAGTGACAGCCTTGAGCAAAAAAAGCTCAGAGATAGTGCCCAAGCCCTGAATTCAAAAGCCCCATGACAGACTCCATCCCTCTCATCCCCCCAAAAAAGCTTTCCTTATGTACTACTTTGTTCTTCCTGCAAACTCAATCCCATATATATGCCCAAGAAACCACTGATCTGGCTCTATCACTATAGAATTTAGTTTGGATTTAGCTAAATACATTATGTTCTTTTTGGTCTGGCTTCTTTCAATCAAACTAAGATTCCTTCCACAGTTAATGTAGATAATTCCTCTTTATTATGAACTAGTATTCCATTGCCGCCCTCCCCTTTCCCCCCGATGCCAGCTTGAACTCAGGGCCTGGGTGCTGTCTCTAAGCCTCTTTGTGCTCAAAGCTAGTGCTCTACCACTTGAACTACAGCATCACTTCCAGCTTTTTCTGAATAGTCTCATGGAATTTTCTGTCCGGGCTGGCTTTGAACGGAGATCCTCAGATCTAACCCTCAGCAGAGAGGATTACAGGTATGAGCCACCAGTACCCAGCTAGTATTCCATTCTATATAGCTACACCACAAATCAATTATTCATTTACCTGTTACTGGGCATCTGAATTATTACTATTTTAGGGGAGGACATTACAAATAATCTGTAAATGTCACTAAGTGGATATATTTTCACTTTTCTTGGGTACATAAGAGAGGAATGGCTCATAGTGTACTTCTAACCTTTTTTTTTTTGGGGTCCCGTCGTGGGGCCTGAACTCTGGGCCTGGACGCTGTCCCTCAGCTCTTCAGCTCAAGGCTAGCACTCTACCACCTGAGCCACAGCGCCACTTCTGGCTTTTTTCTTCTTGCTTATGTGGTGCTGAGGAATCAAACCCAGGGCCTCATGCATGCAAGGCAAGTGCCCTACCACTGAGCTACCTTCCCAGCCCCAACTTCTAACCTTTTTGTTGTTGCTGGTATCCAAGAGTGAACTCAGAACCTCACACTCTCACTGGGCTTTTCACTTCAGTTGGGCTCTCTACCACTTGAGTAACACTTCTACTTCTGGTTTTTAGCTGGTTATTTGGAGATGAGCTGCTTGCCTGCCCAGGCTGGCTTCGAACTGGGAACCTCAGAGCTAAGTCTTCTGAGTAGCTAGGATTACAGGCATGAGTCACCAGCACTGACTAGCTTTTTATTTATTATTATTTATTTGCTGGCAGCTTTTTTTGGGGGGGGGGGGAGGGGTATCCTAGGGCTTAAGTATAGGGCCTGAGTGTTGTACCTGAGCTTTTTTTTGCTCAAGGGTAGCACTCTACCACTTGAACCATAGTTCTACTTTCAGCTATTTTGGTAGTTATAGATATGAGTTTCAGGTTCCTGCCCAGGTTGGTTCTGAACCATCATCCTCCAATCTCAGCCTTCTGAGTAGCCAGGATTACAAGCCTGAGCCATTGACACCTGGCATTTCTACTTTTTAAGAAACAGACTAAGAGCTGGGAATGTGACTTAGTGGTAGAGTGCTTGCCAAGCATGCATGAGGCCCTGGGTTTGATTCCTTAGTACTACATGCACAGAAAAAGCCAGAAGTGGCACTGTGGCTCAAGTGATAAAGTGCTAGCCTTAAGCAAAAGAAGCTCAGGAACAGTGCCCAGCCCCTGAGTTCAAGTTCCAGGACTGGCAAAACAAAAACCAAACAAACAAACAACAACAAAAACAGATAAAATCTTTCCCAAAGTGCTGAACTGTTTTTACAACTCCACCAGCAGTGTTTGAGGTTTCCAGTTGATGAATCCTTGTCAACACTTGGTATGGCCAGTCTTTTTCATTTGGGCCATTCAAACAGATGTTATTATAGTCTTGCTACTTAGCTCCAACTGGTTTTGAACTCCAACTGATTTCAACCTTCTCAGTGCTGAGATTAAAATCATGTACTATCTTGCCCTGCTGGCATTGTGCTTTAATTTGTATTTCCCTGACTACTAATGTTAAATCTTTTCAATTTAATTATTGAGAAAGTGTTTTTCTCAATTATTTTTTGACATTAATGCATATAATCCTCACCTGCTGTAGAAGCACATCAATTTTGTCTGTTAGAACCTGAATTTTCTCTTCATTTTTGCCTGTTGGGCCAGCAGCCTGTTAAAGAAAATAAAATGTATTATATTATCAATAAGTAAAGCAAAGGTAACATTCAAGCTCAGTGATAAAGGTATAGCTAAGTGGTAAAGCACTTGCTTAGCACATACAAGGCTTTGGGTTCAATCCCAAGTACTGACAAGGAAAGCTTTTGAAGCAGGGTGCCAGTGGCTCATGCCTGTAATCCTAGCTACTCAGGAGAAGGCTGAGATCTGAGGATCATGGTTCAAAGCCAGCCCGGGCAGTAAAATCCATGAGACTCTTATCTCCAATAAACTACTCAGAAAAGCCGCAAGTGGCAATGTGACTCAAGTAGTAGAGGGCTAGCCTTGAGCATAGAGAGGCTCAGGGACAGAGGCCAGACCAGGCCCTGAGTTCAAACACCAGGACCAGGGGGAAACGGAAGGAAGGAAGGAAGGAAGGAAGGGAGGAAGGAAGGAAGGAAGGGAGGGAGGGAGGGAGGGAGGGAGGGAGGGAGGGAGGGAGGGAGGAAGGAAGGAAGGAAGGAAGGAAGGAAGGAAGGAAGGAAGGAAGGAAGGAAGGAAGGAAGGAGGCTTCTGAGATAGGACTGGCTATGTAGCCCAGAGTAGTCAAACTCAAGATTTCCCTGCCTCAGCCTGCTGGGATTATTAGCATACTTTGCCACACCCAGAATGTAGCTCATGCCAGTAATTGCAGCACTCAGGATAAGGAGGCAAGAGGATCTTGAGTTCTAGGCCAGTTCTTACTACCTAGTGAAACGTGGTCTAACATGGTCTCACTAGGTAGTAAGAAAGGGAAAAAAAAAGTCTGTCCATCAGTTACATATTTTGTCCGTTACTTATATTTCAGGAAAAGCTCATGGTTAGTAAAATAAACATTTTACTAATGAAAGCTGAAAACGAACTCCAGACACAAAAAGGGCTAGGAATCTAAGGTAGACTACCTAAGCCTTAAATTTAAACCCTACTACCTCCATAAATTAAATACATAAATGTATCTGAGACCTAGTGTCACCCAGGATAGAAACTGTTAGCACAAAAATTTCTCTAGCTCGCTCATCTCCATTAATTCTGCAGTTAACAGATGGTTTTTGTTTTTGGTCCGGTCGTGGGGCCTAAACTCTGGGCCTGGGCACTGCCCCTGAGCTCTTCAGTGCCACTTCCATTTTTTTTCTTTTTTGCTTATGTGGTGCCGAGGAATCAAACCCAGGGCCTCAGGCATGCAAGGCAAGCGCTCTACCACTGAGCCACCTTCCCAGCCCAACAGATGTTATTAAGCTAAGATCTACGCAAGCACATGAATTTCTCCATTCCCTAGTCACCCAACTTCAATCCCCAAAGTCCTGTTTTTTCTACAGTCTTCATCCAAACTGACATTTCTTGTCTGAATCACTGCAAAAGCTTCCAAATATCTGGACTTGCTTCTTTCAGTGAATCCTTCAAAACCACTAACCATTCTGCAGCTAGAGCCAGCTTTCAAGAAATGTAATTCAAAGTGGCCTTGGTGGTGGCACACCTATAATCTCAACACTCAGGAGAATGAGACAGGAGGATCACCAGTTCAAGGGCAGGTGGGTCTAAATGGCAAGATCCTGTCTTAAAAAAACAAAATTCAGAGGGCCCTACTTCCTGATAGAGTACCTCAGTTTTGCTGTGGTTCTGTGTAAGATGTAACCCTTTTTTCCTTTTTCAACAGTCTGTGTTTGATGTCCCCTTTCTGGAATGGTTCCCCTGGTTTTTGCCAGACTTAGCTTCTTTGGCTTGGTTTCCAGTACAAAGGTCATTTGTCAAGGGAACTGTCTTTTCCAATTGTGCTCTCCATGGAGAGGAATTTTCTTTAGATACCCCTGGCCTCTTTCCACATCCTACTCCCTTCCTCATAGAGCTGAATAATTATTCTGTAGAAGGCAACAAGGATAACCCACCTGTACTGGCTTCTTTGCTAAGAGTGCCCAGATTGTTGGGAATGTAGTTGAATGACAGAATGATACCCAGCATGCACAAGGCCTTAAGTTTGATCCCCAGAGCACAAGGGAAGGGAGGTAGGGGGTAGGGGAAGAAGGGAGGGACCAGATTAGGACTAAAGGGGGTGAGGGGTGTAGCTTCAAAAGACAAGTTTCAAACATTAGGTCTCTAGATCTTCAGAGAACAAGGATCCTTTACAAAGATTGTACTCATTTCATACTTACTCCGGAGGATTGCTGGTTTTGAGATAATGCCAAACGAGCATGGCCTCGTCTGATTCTACGTTCTACCTCTGCAAGTAAGCTCTGTAAGTATCGCAAAAAATCTCTCTCGTAGCCAACTTTCATAAAACGAGAACTCTTCTCATACCTGATAAAACAAAATAAACATTTATTCACTATGTCATATATTGTATATTAACTTGTTTCAAGGACTTTGTATTTAAGACAAAGAGTAACCAGGAATATATGAAGTGAATTTCTGGTTGTCTCTCATATGCTGCCAAAGAGAAAACCAAAAAAGTACAACTTACTGTTTTCGTAGATTTTCATCATGAATTTTTTCACATGGACCTAAGAAAGGGAGAGAAAAGGGAAAAAAAGTGTTTATGTGACATTTAACAAACTTTACTTGTCATACACCTAATTGTTTCCTATCTCCAAAACAGCCAATTCCAACTTTTAGCTGTCTTATGGATCTTACCTCTAAATTTATAAATGTTATGACTACTTTGCTTTTTTAACTTACCAATCTTTTTTTTTTGGGTGCTGGTCCTGGGGCTTGACCTCAGGGTCTGGGCACTGTCCCTACACTTTTGTGCTCAAGGCTAGCACTCTACCACTTGAACTACACTCCTCTTTCAGGAAGAGGGGTGGCTAATTGGAGATAAGAGTCTCATGGACTTTCCTGCCTGAACTGGCTTTGAACTGCAATGCTCAGATCTTAGCCTCTGGTGCCCAACTTAATTTACCAATCTTATATATTTAAGCTAAACAACCCTTAGTATTTATTTTTTGGCCACACAAATAGTATTCTCTGTAGAATCAAACAAAATGTGCCTAAGAAATATGCTTGGTAAGAGTTCTCTTGGATTTTTATTTTGTTTTCTGTATTTCTACTTGTTTCTCAAACATTTGAACTCAGCCAATGAAAACTCACTCAATACTAATTTACCTTGAGTATTAAAATACAGCAGAGGCCGGGACCAGGTGGCTCACATCTGTAATCCTAGCTACTCAGGAGGCTGAGATCCGAGGATTATGGCTCAAAAGCTACCCAAGGCAGGAAAGTCTGTAAGACTTTTATCTCCAATAAAACTACTAAAATTAAAAAAAAAAACCCACAGTAGAGTTATTAGTTCTATTAGATTAGCCATTTGTCTTATTTGAATCTAGGATGTTAAGGCCAGAACAGAATCTGAAGCTTGAAACCTCTGCTACTTAACTAGGGACATGGAGATAAGGAAGATAGTGGTTCAAAACCAGCATGGACAAAAAGTTAGCAAGACCTCCACTTCAACCAAAAAATAAAGAATAAAAATTAGAGAACATGCATGGCACCATTATCACTTATTCTACTACACACCCCTGTCTCTTGGTTTTGTTAATTAATCTATTATGTTGAATGCTTTCTTGAAATGTCTGAATAGTACTCCCTGGCAAGTGACTGATTTTGTTCATTAAAAAATATGGCTGGAAGTTGGTTTGGCTAGGCAAGGTTTGTCCTTAAAGGGCATTTCCAAATGAATATCAAACACTCAGACTTTCTTTTAAGAGATTCCCAGAGTCCATACTCAAAGAGACTACCTTCTCTAAAAGCGTTAACTTTCCCAAGAAAGAAATCCTTTCTCTTCTGAGGAAAAGTATCTAGCTATATCCTTCTATAGGGCAGGAGAATCCCACTTATAAAGGACTCATTTAATCTCTTACAACCTCATTTTACTCACTACTGACCTGTGCTATATGGAATTTCAAGAAGATCTTGACTCTTCCAGCCCTAATGTGCTCCTCGATACTCTAAGGCAAACACTGTGATGTATCTAGAATACAAGTTATGTACCACACTTGAGAGAACAAGTCAACTGTGTGCTGTATTTTTTGTTTTACATGACTAGAGTTTAGTTCCATTCTTGCAGAAAATAACCCTCTTTCTTCCTGGGGTGTTGGGGTAGGAGAGGTAGGATCAACAGGTGCAAGGGACTACTTACCACTAGTAGCTCTCTACTGGGGAGCAATTTTGTCCCCAGAGGACATTTAGAATTGTCTGAAGACAAATTTGGTTATCCTAGGTACAAGCTAGGGATTCTGCTAAACTCCTACAATGCACGAGAAAGTCAGTGAAAACTACTTCAAAATGTCAGCATTGTCAAAGTTGAAAATCTCTGAACTGAGGGAGAGAAGGGGTGACATAGGTCAAAAAGAAATGTGTTCTTTACCTGGCTTATGTAACTGTAACCCTTTTGTACATCACCTTTGTAACAACAACAAAGAAAAATTCCTGAACTAATCTAGTGCTGGTGGTTTACACCTGTAATCAATCCTAGCTTCTCAGGAGCCTGAGATCTGAGGATCACAGTTCAAAGTTGGCCTGGGCAAGAAAGTCTTTTGAGACTCTTATCTCCAATTAACCACCAGAAAATACAAGTGAAGCTGTGGTGGCTCAAAGTGATAGAACACTTGCCTTGAGCACAAAAACTCAGGGACAGCACCCAGGCCCTGAGTTCAAGCCCCATGATGGACAACAAACAACGTTAGTGGGCTTTTAGGAAGAAGTAGAAATAAGACATGTGTTTAATTAGGCTAACATTAATGACTGATACAATGAACACATTCAAGAACTTCAAGTAAGAAATTAGTAATCCACATCCTAGGCTCATCCTGTCTCAGCTTACCCAGTGCTGGGATTACAGGTATGTACCACTCAGCCCAACCAAGAAACATTAAATCACCAATTTCATAAAAGTTGCAAAGAAAATTCACTTACCAAGATCAGAGCGAGTATTTGTGAACAATTCCGCAGGACAAAAACCACAGAGATAATATTTACAAACCTAGTGGATGGAAAAGAAAGTACTTAACTTTTAAAAATTGCTACTTCAAAATTTTATTAGAAAAGGGTCCAGAAACTATTGTATTTCTTGACATACTCATAATTCAATCAAATATAACAATCTCACTTCTTGAACCTTATTAGTCTTCCTCATTTCTAAATTTCAAGAAAGAAAAGATACTCAAGACTGACAGAATTACTGTCTACTTTTTAACTGTTTCCTAGCTCCATAATAACAAGCAAATTTAGGAAGACTTCTCAGAATAAACAGCGATTTTTATATTAAAAAAAATCTATACTACTGTGGGCACTGGCAGCTCATGTCCATAATCCTAGTTACTCAAAAGATCTGAGCCATAGTTCAATGCATAGGTGGAAATGTCCATGAGACTCTTATCTCCAATTAACTACAAAAAGCTAGAAGGGAAAATAGCCTTGAGCACAAAAGTTCAGGGACAGCACCCAGGCCCCAAATTTGAGTACCAGTACCAGCACGTGCACACACACAAAACAAACTTTACACTAGAGCTGGGGCATAACTAAAGTGGCAGAGCATCAACCCTAATACAGCAAAAAAATATATGTAAATGTAATTTCTTAAAAAAAAAAAAAAAAACAGCTCTTTTACTGTTATTTATGTATTTATTTCAATAAAGGTACACAATGTATTTTCTCTTCATCCTCATTTTTTTTTTGATCAGTCGTGGGGCCTGAACTCTGGGCCTGGGCGCTGTCCCTCAGCTTTTTAGCTCAAGGCCAGCACTCTACCACTTGAACCACAGCGCCACTTCCAGCCTTTTCTGCTTAGGTGGTGCTGAGGAATTGAACCCAGGACCTCATGCATGCAAGGCAAGCACTCTACCACTGAGCCACCTTCCCAGCCTTCGTCCTAGTTTTTTTAGTACCACTGTACCTCATATCTAATTCTGTAATATTACAAACCAAGTCCTATTAATAAAATTCTAAGATACTGCCTTTCTGTCACAAAAAAGTTCACTGTCACTATATGGATTACCAATGCAAAACTATCATCTGATGTCAGATGCTAGTGATAATGCTACTGAGGAGGGTGATATCTGAGGATCACTTTTCTCTAGGGAAAAAAGTCCCAGAGACTCTCATCCAAGCAAAGAGCCAAGCTGGAGGCCAATCAGGTGAGCAAATTAAGCAAACACAAGGCCCTCAGTTCAAATCCCCAATACTGATAAAAACAAAACAAAAAAAACCTATGACATATGAAATAATGAAAAGGCTGTGGATGTGGCTCAGGTAAGTATAATATTTGCACAGCATATACAAAGTTCTGGGCTCAATGTTCAACACCACAAAAATATTAAAACGAGTGGTTTTTTTTCCCCTAGACACTTAGAATTGAATGCTAAATATGAATGTCTCAAAGGCTTTATTACTCAAAGCAGTGTAGTACCTTAAGCTATCTCTAGAAGAATATTACAATGCTTATCTAAAGATTCATTTATCAGCGAGACACTGGTGGCTCATGGCTACTCAAGTGGCTAAGGTATGAGGATTGAGGTTCAAATCCAGTCCAAGGCAGATAAATCCTTGAGACTCATATCTCCAATTAACCAGCAAAAAAAAAAATAAGCTGAAACTGGAGGTATAGCTTAGGTGATGAAAAGCCAACCTTGCTTTCAAGATGGGAAGGGGAGGTTTGACTTGAAAACTTCATTTTATTCTGTTTTTTATGTTATCTTTAAGGGGAAGGGTAAAGGAGGAAGGAAAAGATTTTACTTAAAATTTTCATATACATATATATATAAATAAATAATTTTTTTGGCCAGTTTTAGGGCTTGAACTCAGGGGCTGGGCACTGACCCTGAGCCTCTCTGTGCTCAAGGCTAGCACTCTACCACTTGAGCCACAGCTTCTGGCTTTTTCTGTGTTATGTGGTATGAAGGAACCAAGCCAGAGCTTCATACATGCAAGGCAAGCACTCTACCACTAAGCCACCTTCCCAGCCCTTATAATTTTTTAAAATATTACCTTTAGCTGGGTGCCAGTGGCTTACACCTGTAATCTTAGCTACTCAGGAGGCTGAGATCTGAGAGTCACAGTTCAAAGCCAGATGGAAAGTCAGACTCTTATCTGCAATTAACCATCAAAAAAACAGAAGTGGTGCTATGGCTCAAGTGGTACAGCTTTCGCCTTTAAGCTGAAGAACCGAGAGACAGCACCCAGGCCCAGAGTCCAAGCCCAACCCACAAAAAAAATTATCTTTAAGTAGTTATAGAAAGGGATGCTTGGTGGCCCAGCTGTGGTGGCCCACACCTGTAATGCTGCTCAGGAGGCTGAGATCTGAGGATTGAGGTTCAAAGCCAGCCTGGGCAGGAATGTGGTCAGTTTAACTCTCAGTCTCCAAAAGTGAAAAAAAGCCAGAAGTGAAGCTGTGGCTCAAGTGGCAGAGCACTAGCCCTGAGCAACAAAAGGGAGGAGATGACTTGAAATTTTTATTAGCAAGTTTCTGTCATCCTAAAATGAAATTGTTAGTGGGGCGCAGGTGGCTCATGCCTATGCCTATAATCCTAGCTAATCAGGTGGCTGAAATCTAAAGATGACCATTGTTCGAAGCCCAGACAGAAAAGTCCCTGTGAGACTCTTATCTCCAATTAACCACTCAAAAACCAAGTTGCATTATGTCTCAAGTGCTAGAGCACTAGACTTGAGTACAAAGAAGCTCAGGGACAACACCCAGGCCCTGAGTTCAAGCCCCACAACTGCCAAAAAAAAAAGGAAAAGAAATTGGCAAGAAATTGAAACATCTAGCATTATAGTGATGAGAAAATGATATTGCAAACAATACTACAAGACTGAGGGAAAATCTAGTAGCATACACCCAAATGTAAAGTTAGCATTTCTTTAACTTAGCCATTATCTTACAAGTGGCTCAAATATGCACATGTATGCGTGTGAGCTCATGCACACTAGTCATTTAGTTGGTAATGCAAAAGAATTAGATATAATCTACATATCTAACAGGAAACAAACAAGGTAGATCCGTATGTATCAACAAGACTGTCCAAATTAAAAGTCCAGAAATAGCAGTATTTTAAATTATTTGGGGGGAAGACTTGGCAATAAGAGAGGGGAAGAAAGCAACCTTACAGTTTACTTCTGTACTAAATTTAAGTATTGTTGTAGTAAGCAAGTTTACTTTTGTTAAAAAAAATAAAACTTGCTAGGCCCCTCTAGCTACTCAGGAGGCTGAAATGAGGATTGAAGTTTGAAGCCAGACTGGGCAGGAAAGGCTGGGTATCTCCAATTAATTACCTAAAAACTGGAAGTGGAACTGTGGCTCAAAGAGCAAAAAAGCTCAGGGACAGTGTCCAGGCCCTGAGTTGAAGCCCCATGACCAACAACAATAATAAAACCTTAACAATTCAAAATGCAGAAGACACAAAATAAATACTAATTGCCAAATACTTCCATGGAGTCAATTGTTAAACTAGACAATATTATTTATTGTAAGAAAGACATAGGTTGGGCTGTGTTAAATACAAATATTTGGGGAAATGTGGATTGACACTTGTAACAAAAATAGTTGTCCTCTCCACTCTACACACACCTACTTTAAACATAATCACTAGTCCAGGTCATCTATTTCTTCCAATCAGTAAAGCATACCAAGAACATCTTAAATGATTTTTTTTTTTTAATTCTTTAGGTCCTAAATATTTAAGGGTCTCTGTGTGAAAAGCCCTTACTGGGTATTCCAATCTGAGTTAGGTGCCCCTCCTGTGGGTCCTCAGCACCCAAGAGCATGATTGTGTTAAATGTACTTACTCCTTCATAACTTGGCCAGCACTCTACCACTTTTGAGCCACAGCTCCACTTCCAGTTTTGGGGTAGTTAATTGGGAGATAAGAGTCTCATGGACTCTTCTGCCCAAGATGGCTCTGAACTGTAGTCCTTAAATCTCAGCATCCTGATTAGGTAGGATTCCAGGTGTGAGCCACCAGCACCCAGTTCCTTCATAACTTTTTTCTTTTTGGTTAGGGGTCGGTCTTTGGGTTTGAACTTGGAGCTGTAGTGCTGTCCCTGAGCTCCTTCTGTTCCAGGCTAGTGCTCTACCACTTTGAGCCACAGTGCCACTTCCTCCTTCATAACTCTTAACCATATTGATGGCTTTCCAGGGCCAAGTGCTGTATCTACACTATTGTTTCCTAAGAGCAATAAACTGACTAAATGAACATTGGAGTTTCCCCACCTAAGTTACCTTCTCACCTGGGGTGGGGGGTGGGAGTCAGAAAGTCTAAAGTCTAATCACGTACCATATAGGAGGTATATAGTCACATACATTTTTCCTAGTGCAACCACTCAGGAAATGTGACAATGGTATTCTAGTTATGTTTTGTTTGTGGTTGGTCATGGGACTTGAACTCTGGGCCTGGGAGCTGTCCCTGAGCTCTTCAGCTCAAGGGGAGTGCTCTATCACTTGAACCACAGTACAACTTCCGGTTTTCTGGTGATTAATTGGAGGTAAGAGTCTCTCAGACTTTCCTGACAGGGCTGGCTTTGAACCTCGATCCTCAGTCTCCTGAGTAGCTAGGATTATAGGTGTGAGCCACTAGTGCCCGGCTCTAGTTATTTTTTTTAAGCCATTTTATTTTATTTTAAAGATACCTAATGACACTTGGGGTTAAAATAAATGGTTCAACATAATGGGAGGGGATAGGGGATATAAAGGAAATGCTTTGGCTATGTGTTAACATTGATTTGGGTAAGATTACATACAGTTAAAAATCTGAACCTTTTTGGCAGCACTGAGATTTGAACTCAGGGCTTCTTCACACTTGCTGAGTAGGTACTCACTCTACTGCTGAGCTATACCTCCAGATTTTTTTTTTGTTTTTTGGGGTTTTTTTTTTTTTTTGCTAGTTATTTTCAGATAGGGTCTCACTTCTCACTTAGGTGCAATCTGTCTATTTTTTAGGCTACAACTGGAATTTTTTTCTTTTTGAGGAAAGGTCACTAAGTAGCTCAGGCTGGCCTGTAACTGTACATCAACTCCCTCAGTTTCCTAACTACTTAGATTACAGGGAGATATCACCATCACTGGTTTAATATACTATTGCTTCTTTTCTTTGGCATGTTCTTATCCCTATTTGAAAGGAATCAAAACAATATGACCCTGGCTCAACTTAGGAGCTTTTCCCATCTAGTGCCAAATCTTTCCCATCTATGGCAAAGAAAAATTCCCAGATAGATTAAAAACCAAAAGTATAATATGCAAATGAGTTGGAAGCGGTGTCAAGCTCTTCTCTATTTTTTACTATCTACAGTAATCTCACTATTTAGAATGGGCTGTATGTTTTGTTCTGGGTCATTATCACCACCCTTTCCCCTGTAGACATGAATTTGAAATGCCAGTTAAATCACTTGAAACTTTGAATCTAGAATAAAGTGCAATCTATCATTAAAGGCATTAACATTTCAACTACGAACACCAAGTTAAAAATCAATAAAAAGCACTAAAACAAAAGGCAAGGCAAGGAGGCAGAGAAAGGCAATCATTTTTCTCTTTAATGCAAAATACTCAAACACTCTATTTTGTATCAGCTGAACTGTAGTTTTCTACTTTTGTAAAGCTTAGGCTGGAAAGTTACTAAATGATGAAAAGAAACAAGTTACTAAGTTATGTGGTAAAAAAAAAACTTTTAGTTACTTAATTATAACATATGTCTAGAAAGGAAAAAAGGATCAATTACTAGCATAGCAGCAGGGCCACTGGTGGCTCATGCCTGTAATCCTAACTACCCAGAAGGCTGAGTTCTGAGGATGATTGTTCACAGTCAACTCATTCCATGAGCTTCTTATGGCCAATTAATCTCCTAGAAAAGGGAAGTGGCTAGTCTTGAGCAAAAAAAGCTTAAAGACAGTGCCCAGCCCTGAGTTCAAGCCCCAAGACCAAAACAAACACAAACACAGCAAATCTTACTCTTAATGTGACAAATGGAGGCCAATGTTTAAAAAAAAAAATCCACATAACTCTTTTTTTAAAAGATTCACATCTTGTTGGGAGTGGTGGCTCACAGCTGTAATTGTAGTCACACAGAAGGCTGAGACCTGAAGATTGTGGTTCAAAGCTTGCCTGGGAGAAGAGTTGGTGAGACTGTCATCTCTAACCATTAAAAAAAAAAAAAAAAAAAGCCTAAAGTAGACTTGTGGCTAAAGTTGTAGTGCTAGCCTTAAACATAAAAAGCTCAGGAACAGGGCTGGGAAGGTGGCTCAGTGGTAGAGCGCTTGCTTTGCATGCATGAGGCCCTGGGTTCGATTCCCCAGCACCACATAAGCAAAAAAACAAAAACAAAAAAGCTCAGGAACATTGCCCATTCTGAGTTCAAGTCCCCAGTACAGGCACAAGATTCCCATCTTGAAATCTGTAACAAATAGTGTGAATGAATGTGACAAATACCTTGCAAAACAAGTTCTACTATAGAATACCTTATATTACTCTTTAAAACACCTCAAAACAACTTTAGCCAAACACACTTTTTAAATGTAAAATAGCACCATTTTCCTGCATCGCAAAAGTCAAACTTTATTCTAACCAAATACTGTGTTTTAAAAATGCAAGCACCTAATTTAATAATGCCTGCATGTTAGCTGGACATGGGGGCACACACCTAGAAGTCTAGCTCTAAGGAGTCGATTGAGGTAGGAAGATCTCGAGTTTCCAGGCCTGCATAGACTTCACAGTAGTTTCAGGCTATCCTAGGCTCACAGAGTGACTGACACGTGCCAAAAAAACAAACAAAACTGTGGGAGCGGCTCAAAGTGCTTGAGCGCCTGCCTTACGAGATGAAGATCTTTGAGTTCAAACCCCAGGGCTGAAAGTTTAAAAAACGGCCTGTTGCACTTTTTCCTCATAGTCTAGCCAGCAACTGCTTTAAAATTATGTTTGATTTTATGTGAAAGGTAAAACTGAAGTTCTCAAACTCTAAACGGTCATACTGGATATTTAACACTGGATAAAGAAATATCAGAAACACACTAACTGTATTTGCAAAGAGCCAGCATCAGGGCGTTGTGGAAAATGAACAGGACTTCACAAGATTAAGTTTGGTTTCGCTAATTTCTTTCCAAGGGACTTGGGTTAGATGCTCCCCAGGCTCCCCAAATCTTGGGGGGGGGGCCTCTTGCTCTTCCACCTCGGGGGCAAAGAGGGTCGACTGAACTGAGATAGAAGAGAAAGCCTTTGACAACCGCCTCTCTGTCAAACGTCTGTAAACCGAATTACCCCCCCCCCCGCGAAGCTCCAAAACTGAACCGCTCTGGAATCAGAGACGGCCACTCTTATTCCCCCCCCCCCCCATTAAGCTGGTCGGGTGTCTGTCTAGATCACGCCGCTGAACCCACATAACGGAAGACGGTGCCCTTCTCTCCATTCCGTCAGGCGACAGCAGCGATCGCCAAACGCGCCCAGCCTTCCTTTCCCGCGTCGCCCCGCCTCAGCCAGCCAGGTGCTTTTCCACCCCGCCACGGGCCGGGCTGGACTTCCTCGACCGGGCAACCCCGGCGCCCCAGCCCGGGCCCGCCCCGGCCCCCCGGCCCAGAGCCGCGGCGTGGCGCGGCGCGGCCAGGCCCGGGCCCCCGCCCCTGTCCCGGGCCCCGCCGCGGCCCGCGCCGCTCCCCGCCCCGCCCCCACGGCGCCCGGGCGCAGGCCCCAGGACCGCGGGACTTACGCTCTCGTGGTCCCACCGCACGTTGCTGCGCTTCTCGTCCGGGGCAAGGTTTCGGTCCCGGCCCATTAACTCATCCAACAACTGCGCGGCCGAAATCATGGTGCTGCTCTCGGGCGGCTGTCCCCACCAGCCCTAGCACCCCGTCCAGTAAACGCTGGCGACACGGTCGCCAACCCCCTCGCCTCACTCTCAGGCCGAAACACCTCCTCCGCTGAGGAGCCGAGAAGACAAAATGGCCGCCGCGCGGGCGCCTTCCCAGCGTGCCGTGCGCCCGCGGGGACACGCCCAGGCCCGGGTGGCTCCGGCGGCTCGGGCGGCGCGGGGGCGGGGCCGGCGTGGGGGGGGGGCGACCGGCGCGGGGGTGGGGTGGGGGTGGAAATCTGCGGGGAGGGGAATCGCCGGGGGGGGGGGAGGAATCGGCGTGGGCTCCGCCCCCAGCCCGGGACACGCCGCCCGCCCGTGCCGCCGCCGGCCGCAGCACTCCAGCGCCCGGTCTTCCCGGGCTTTTTAACACTGGACGTGTCGGACACCGCCCTGGCATAGACAAAAGGCACGTGGTGCCCGCGCTGCTGTCTTCCGGCGGGGGAAACGAGATGGTCGCAGGCAGGGTTCCGCCTCCATTTTCCTCGCTGTGCTGCTCCAACGGGGCTTTGTCCGGATTCCCTGGTCGGCTGGGACCAGGCCACGTGAAGTTTGGAGAGTTGGCCCTTCAGCCTCCCGGTCTGGGTTTTACTGACTCATTGCGAGGCTCATGCCAGTCACCGCACCTACTCAGGGGGCAGACATCTGAGGATCGCAGTTCGAAGCCAGCCCTGGGCAGGAAAGTCTGTGGGACTCTTTTTATCTTCCATAAACTACCCCCCCCAAAACAGCCAGAAGTGGAGCTGTGGCTCAAGTGAGGAAGCACCCCAACCTTGAAAGAAAAAGCCAACGCCGCCGGGCGCTGGTGGCTCACGCCTGTAATCCTAGCTACTCAGGAGGCTGAGATCTGAGGATCGCGGTTCAAAGCCAGCCCGGGCAGGAGAGACCGTGAGACTCCTATCTCCAATAAACCACCAGAAAACCAGAAGTGGAGCTATGATTCAAGTGGTAGAGCACTAGCCTTGAGCTGAAGAGCTGAGGGACAGCGCCCAGGCCCAGAGTTCAAGTCCCACGACCGACAAAAAAAAAGAAAGAAAAAGCCAAGGGACAACACCCAGGCCCTGAGTTTTCAATCTCAGGACCGGGATTATAGAAAATATAAATAAAACAGCTGGGTGTACAAAGGCTAGATACTGTGCTGGAAGCTAAATTCAAAACCCTTGAGAAGCAGTTGAGACTGCATTAGTGAAAGAACTAATCGCTAGAGGACATAGTGATCACCCACAGATATTGAGGGTGTCGCTGTATCTCAGAAGGCATGCCTAATGCATAGGAAAGAAAAGTTGGAGCTGGGCACCGGTGGCTCACGCCTGTAACCCTAGCTACTCAGGAGGCTGAGATCTGAAGATCGAGGTTCAAAGCCAGCCAGGGCAGGAAAGTCTGTGAGACTATTATCTCAAAAAAAAAAAAAAAAAAACCACCACTAGAAAACCAGAAGTGGTGGTATGGCTCAAGTGGTAGAGCTCTCACCTTGAGCTGAAGAGCGCAGGAACAGGGCCTAGGCCAAGAGTTCAAGCCCCACGACCGACTCCCCCCCCCCCCAAAAAAAAAAAAAGTTGGAGTGGGGCTTGAGGATATGGTCTCCTGGGTTTGTGATTCCCAGCTCCATCACTCTGGGGGGAGGGGAGGAGGGGGAAGGGAGTGTTCCTCTTCTGCAATATGGGGCTTATGCTTGTTTCTGTGAAGACTGAATAAATTGATTCAATGTAAAACATTGTTACAGTAAACCCAACACACTAAGTTCATTCAATCATGAGAAAAAAACACTCCTGCTTCCCACATACTTGACATGGAGCAAGCTTCTCCCACCAACCAACTCCTACCCGCCTTTGACTCACAGCTCAAGTTTGGCTAACTCCCAGAATTCAACCTGGACCCTTATCTTCTACCTGCTGCATACCATGGATAAACCTCTTCTTGTGTTACCATTTTTTTGGAGGGGTTGGTTGTGGGGCTTGAACTCTGGGCCTGGACCATATCCCTGAGCTCTACAGTTCAAAATGAGCACTCTACCACTTGAGCCATAGCACCACTTCCAGTTTTCTGGTGATTAATTGGAGATAAGAATATCACAGACTTTACTGCCCAGGCTGGCTTTGAACCTCAATCCTCAGATCTCAGCCTCCTGAGTAGTTAGGATTTACAGGTGTTAGCCACCAGCTCCCACCTTAAACATCCTTGATTATTTTACATTTTGTCACATGTTAGTGCAATCAGTCTCTTCCTTTAAAAATGGAAGTTATGGGCTGGGAAGGTGGCTCAGTGGTAGAGCGCTTGCCTTGCATGCCAGAGGCCCTGGGTTCGATTCCTCAGCACCACATAAGCAAAAAGAAAAAAAGCTGGAAGTGGCGCTGTGGCTCAGGTGGTAGAGTGCTAGCCTTGAGCTGAAGAGCTGAGGGATAGTGCCCAGGCCCAGAGTTCAAGCCCCACGACCGGACCCAAGAAAAAAAAAAAACAACAAAATGGAAGTTATTTAAGGTCAGACGCGATTTCTTACTTATCTTCCTGTTCCCAGATGCCAGCAACCAGATTCTACAGACCTCTGTCCTCTGTGTATGTGTGTGTGTGTTTGTATACATAGGTGTGTATGCAATATGTGTAGATGTCTGTACTGTGTACATGTGTGTGTTTAGAATATAGCTCCACCTCACTCCTAACCTCATTATAGTTCATGCTAGCATGTTTGTTTTCTTTTTTTTTTTTTTTTTTGGGGTCCGGTCATGGGGCCTGAACTCTGGGCCTGGGTGCTGTCCCTCAGCTCTTCAGCTCAAGGCTAGCACTCTACCACTGGAACCACAGCGCCACTTCCGGCTTTTTTTCTGTTTATGTGGTGCTGAGGAATCGAACCCAGGGCCTCATGCTTGCAAGGCATGCAACTCTACCGCTGAGCTACCTTCCCAGCCCGCATGTTTGTATTCTTAAAACTTATAGTTTGAAATTCTAACCCCCTAGAAGGTGGATGCTTTGGGGACAAGTCTAGGATTTTAGGGCAGAACCTTCAGGAATGGGAGTAGCCCATATAAATGAAGTCCAGGGCTGGGAATTTGGCTCAGTGGTAGAGCGCTTGCCTTGCATGCATGAGGCCCTGGGTTGGATTCCTCAGCACCACATAAGCAGAAAAAAGCCAGAAGTGGTGCTGTGGCTCAAGTGGTAGGGTGCTAACCTTGAGCTGAAGAGCTGAGGGACAGCGCCCAGGCCCAGAGTTCAGGCCCCACGACTGACAAAATAAATAATAAATAAATAAATAAAGTCCAATGTGGTGGTGCTCAACTGTAATCTCAGCTACTAGGGAGACTGAGACTGGGGATAACATGTTAAGGTCAGTCTTGGTAACTTAGGTGGGGCCCAATAGAGAGATAGATTGAGTTTAAAAAAAAACAAACTAGTTTTATAGCTCAATAGTATAGTGCTTGTCTAGCATTCAGGAGGCCCAGTGTTCAATCCCTAGTACACACACCTTAAGAACTGCTTTGTCCCTTCAGCCATGTCCTGTGAGGACACAGTGAGAAGTTAGCTGTCTGCAAACCAGAAGAGAATCCTCCCCAGAACCTGACCAGGCTGCCAGCCTGATCTTGCACTTGCTGCTTCTAGAACGGAGAAATTTCTCTTGCTTATAAACCAGCTAAGTTAGGGTCTGCTGGTTGTGGGGCTTGAACTCTGGGCCTAGGCGCTGTCCTTCAGCTTTTCAGCTCAAGGCTAGTGCTCTACCACTTGAGCCTCAGCACCACTTCTGCTTTTCTGGTGGTTTACTGGAGATAAGAGTCTCACAGACTTTCCTGCCAGGACTGGCTTTGAACGGTGATCCTCAGATCTCAGCCTCCTGACTAGCAAGGATTACAGGCATGAGCCACTGGCGCCTGGTGTCAAGTTAAGGTCTTTTGTTGTAGCAGCTCAAATGACTAAGGCAGTCTGCTCTTTCCCACCACTGTACCAGAACTTTTGTCTCCAAAGTCACCAGCAATCTCCTCCAGGTTAAACTCATTTTCTACTTTTTAGTCCTTTCTTCTTTGCCCCTTCTGCTTCATGAATCTGTGAGTCATTCCTTTCTCACCAATCTCTCCCACTCCTTTGCTTTTCCTCCTACAATTCTAGTTATTCCTCTTCAGGCTCCTCCCAGGCTTTTTCTTCTGTCCATCATTGGAATGTTGAGTTGTTCTCCAGAGTTCTGTCTGGATGTCTTCTGTCAGCACTTACAGTCTCTCTTGGGGGTTATCTCTTCCGTGCCTGTGACTTCAGCTAGCACTTTTTGCTGATGACTGCTAAGTCTTGATCACCAGCCCACATCTCCTTGCTGAAGTCAATACCTATGCACACACCATTCACTGGACATCTCTAAATAAAAACTTACAAAAGAAAACAGCTCTGGGCTGTGGTAGAACAATTGCTTAGTATGAACAAGGCCCTGGGTTCAATCCTCAGCACCAAACGAATTTTTAAAAAACAATGAAGATCTTCAGACGATCAATTCAGTAGATTTAAAAGTCAGTTCATTATGAAATTTCAGATCTCTTCATCTTCTGCTCCAAATCTCAGTAAACAGCATCACCCTCTAACCAGCCCCAAATCCAAGTATCCTGGTTTCCTGACAGCCCCTGCCGTCTCATTCCCTCAAGGGCTCTTCCCTGACTTCTGCTTGTTATAACTTCCCCCTGCGATCCACTGAGTGTTTACAATATCAGCACTTCACACAGAGCCATCCAGAATATCCAGAACAACCCTGCAAAGTAGGAGTCATTGTCATCCCTACTTCACAGATGCAGGATTTGAGACACAGGAAGGTTGAGTAACTCACACAAAATGAGTGGCAAAGCTGGCAAATGAACCCAGGCAGCCTGACATTTGTCTCCAGGCTCATCACCACTATGCTGCATGTTATGCTATTTCAACACTAATGCACATTGTATTTTTGTTTACCTTGTTCCCCCCACCTCTTCCCCGTTAGCCTTTGTAGTCATAGTAGCATCCTTAGTGACTAGGACAGTGCTCCATAAAAACTACAAGTCATCTACCCAGTGAGTTATGCAATTCCCTAGAGAGAAGACAAATAGAAGTAATGGAGTGGATATCAGGTTACATTTAGCTATAGCTAGGATTAGGGGCTTGTTTTGGAATTGGGTTTTTTGGTGTTTTCTTGCTTGTTTGTTTTTGTGCTAGATATTGAATCCAGGAGCATAATTATACTACTGAGCTATATCCTCAGCCCACAGTTTTGGGTTTTATCTGAGGACTAAGAAGATGTGAATCCAAGATAAGTAGAGGATGGGTTTAAGATAATATTGATGAAAAATAAATAAAAATAAGAAGATATTGATGAGCTGCTGCTGCTCAGTGGTAGAATGCTTGCATAGCCTGCATGAGGTTCTGAGTTCAACTCTCAACATCGTCAAAATTTAAAAGAATTAATTCACTGAGGGCATTGAGGACAAATCTAGAATCTTCATTTGTGTGTGTGTGTGTGTGTGTGTGTGTCAGTACTGAGGCTTGAAGTCAGGAGGAAGTGGATACTGTCTCTCAGCTTTTTCACTCAAGGCTGGCACTCTACCATTTAAGCCACACCTCCAGTTCTAGCTTTTTGCTGGTTAATTAGAGATGAGTCTCTCAGATTTATGTGTCTTCAAAGATTGATTCTCAGATCTCTACCTCCTGAGCAGCTAGGATTCTAGGTGTGAGCCACTAGTTCCCAGCTTGCTAGTATCCTTTTAAAGTAAAAACATGTTATAACAAACTCATGTTAAAAACAAATATACCATAGACTTTACCAATTTCTGTTTCCTCTTATTTTTTATTTTTATTTATTTTTTTTATCAGTATTGGGACTGGAACTCAGAGCCTTCTGTTCTTACTTAGCTTTCTTGCTCATAGCTGGTACTCTACCACTAGTCAAGTCTCTAGTCTGACTTTCAGCAGAAATCCTCTATGTTTCAGCCTCCTGAGTAGCTAGGATTACAGGTGTGAACCATTGGTGCCTTGCCCAATTATTTTCTTTTCAAACTACTGCTTCCTTCTATGTCACTCAAATTGTGTTAAAAGATCTAACGCCAATGTCATACATGTCAGTTTCAGATGGAATATCATGCTGGATCTGAGAATTAAAGTTGATACTGAGAAAACAAAAATGTAAGCTCAAGCAGAGTTCTAATTTGCCACAGATGTCAATTTAAGTGTTTTAGTCAGTTTATATTCAGCACTACCTGGGGTGCAGTGGGTACTGTGTGAATTATTGTATCATAATAAACAGACATTAGTTTCTCTTAAATAGTAACAAGAAAAATACTTGCAGTGCTGCCTAGCCCCCTTCTCCCCCTATGAGAAGGGAAGATTTCATGCCTACATAGGTCTCTTCCTATTTCATCTTTGTTTGAGCCTTCCCCTCAGCCTTCCCAGGGAGATTGCCTTAATCCTCTCGCCCAATCTGCAAAATTCCATCCTGTGCCCACATCTTAGAGCTCTCCAAGGCACCTGGACTCAGCAAAACAATATTTTCCTTTTTCTCCCACTGGGTAATAAAGCAGTGCCAACCGAGATTCTGAACCTCATTAGAGAGATTAGGCAAGCAATCCAGCAAACTGCTGTTTATAAACACACTATGGCTCTACTCCCAGTGCCTGGGATCAGACCCAGGATGACTCCAAAGCTTCTTTGGTGTTCTTTATCTCCCCCTCCCCCCCCCCCCCAGCCCTTTCATAGCTTTCATAAAAGGGTAATTAATTATGATTTATAATCTGTACAAAATCACAGCTTAGATACTATAAACACAATGCTAGTATTTTTCCTCAATGCCGACTTAGAAGAAATCTCAGTCTAAAAGGAGAGGTAAAACAATAACAATAGAAATAAATTTTCTGAGTGTGGTCCCAAGCACTCTCACAACTAAGAAAGCACAGTGTGATCTATCTCTGTAATAATGGGTGTATTATATAGTGAGATCATTGTCAGCCCATTTCCCCATCCTGCTGGGCAAGAATTGGCTCGGATAAGGAAAAAGAGCCAAATGCGAATGGAGGGGGTTGGGCGGTGGGGGGGGGGAGAGGAGGAGCGGTGCACCGACCACCAATTTATATTCTATGCCTGGTAAACAGTCTGCACCCAGAGGATAAGGCTTTTTCTGGCTCTCAAATATGTTTTTTTCCCTCTCTCTCTATTCATGTGTCTTCTCCTCCCTAGAAGCTGCGGGGTTGGGGAGGTCTAAAAATAGCCAATGAATCACAGCAGATAATACTGTGCAGTAGTTACATAAACAGCGGGCCGGGGCGGTGGGCGGGGCGGTGGGTCGGAACGGAAGGGATCTGGGTCAGCGTTGTCACACTGAATAGGGTCCCCCGGAGCCGGCCTGCCGCGGCGCGGCGGGGGAGGAGGCCTGGGCCTGCGGGCGGGGAGAGCTGCGGAGCGGCGGGCACCGGGCGGGACGGGGCGGGAGGGTGGGGGGCAGGGCACCGGACCCGGGCCGAGCGCGGGCGGCCGCACGAGCAGGGCCAGTGAGCCCTGCGCTCCCTTCCCCGATGGCCCGGAGCGGGCCGCGGAGGCGGCGGCGGCGCTGACCGGCCCGGAGTGGGGCGGGGCGGCCTGGGGCCTGGGACCCGGGGGAAAGATGAGTGCCCTCCTAGAGCAGAAGGAGCAGCAGGAGAGGCTGCGGGAGGCCGCGGCTTTGGGGGACATTCGGGAGGTGCAGAAACTGGTGGAGAGCGGGGTAGATGTGAACTCCCAAAATGAGGTCAACGGCTGGTAAGTGGGGAGTCGGGGAGGCCTTAGGGTCAGGGCTGTTGGCCTTGTGTGTGGGGAGGGGGCGGAGGGGGGGGCATGGCACCATCAGCTGCCACCTGGGCCTGGCACTATACTTGAATGCCGGGCACAGAGGTGAGGCCTGGTGTCTCAGTCCTCCCAGGTCGTTCCCTCTTGAGGCCAAGTCTGGATCACCCTTGCCTCGTGCAATCAAAAGCGCGTCCTGCCCACATCCTGCCCATATCCTGGGCAGTGCCCTGCGAACCCTGTCCTCCCCCTCCGCACCCTTCCCCCGCCCCTCGCCCTGCTGTTCCCGACGCGCTCCCTCCCTCCCCCCCCCCCCCCCCCCCCCCCGTTAACTTTGATCAAGCAGTGCCCAAGGCTATAATTCTCAGCGACTCTACACTGGAGCCCATCCCAGTTGAATTATTTGGCTGTAGGTGGTTCTGAAACGCACTGCTACGTTATGCATAGCGAAAAGCACGTAAGCAACCCAGCAAATACGAATCTTGTAAACTAGCGTGATTTCTTCTAGCCAATACCAGATGGAAAACAACAACAACAAAATTGCCACCACTTGCATCACGATTGTGTATCATTGTTGTCTGCAACAGTGATCTGCTGCTGCCTACAGCTGCCTGGTGAAAGAAGACTCATTTGTTTATAGTGTTTTGCTTTGTTTTCCCACTACAATTTGCGATGGAGAAGCTCACTCAGTGCCTTTAGATGTCTGTCTGGAAACTAGTTCTTTCCCAACCAAATAAGGAGTGTCATTTTAAGATGATGCTGGTGGTCAAAGCTTTAGTTTCCAGTTACTTTATGTGACTATTATTCTGCCCTCTTTGGATTTACATTTAAAATTTGATCCAACAATGTTTAACCTGCCTATTTTTCTAGCTTAGAGTTAAAATACAAGTTTTTTAAATGTTTTATTTACTTATTTTAAATAGAACCCTATATTTTGGAACAAGGGACGATGGAGATGATTGCAACTCCAGAGAATAGCTCACCACCATTTGTCAGTCTGATACTCAGGGTCAGTACTGAGGTTCCCTTGATTCTCAACAAATCTGTCTGCCTCCTTTTCCTCAAGAAAACAATCTAGAAAGCTGTGTGCAAAGCCAGGAAACAGTGGATATACTTTCTTCTTGTTTTTCTAAAAGTGTTTGGTAACATTTTGCTGTTTTGGTCTATCTTTTCTGGGAATTGCTCTGTGAAAGCTGTGGATTCCTGACTTGGCACTGGGAGGCAGTGTTGTACAGGGTAATGGGTTGGCTTCAGGTTCTTCATGCCTGCCTAAGCTATACAACCTGGCCTGAGCCACTTCATTTTCAATTATTTCACATTTGTGAGCATTTAATGGGATGAAGGATAATACAGATAGCTAACACTTATTGCAGTTGCTCTGGAGCACTTTCTATATATTGCCTCATTTCAACTACTTAAGAGACATTGCTGTTTTCTCCCTTTTACAGATTAAGAAACTGAGGCCCAGAAACATGAAGTAAATTCCAAGTTACAAAACAGCCCTAAATTGCTAGCAATAGGGGCTGGGAATGTGGCTTAGTGGTAGAAGTGCTTGCCTAGCATGCATGGAGCCCTTGGTTCAATTCCTTAGTACCCCATAAACAGAAAAAGCCAGAAGTGATGCTGTGGCTGAAGTGGTAGAGTGCTAGCCTTGAGCAAAAGAAGCTCAGGGACAGAGCCCAGGCCTTGTGTTCAAGCCCCAGGACTGGAAAAAAAAATTCTCCATAGAGCAAGAGTTTAAGTAAGTGGTAGAACTGGCAAATGGACTCATCATCTGACTCTAGATCTTTACATCCTAGCACAATTCCTGCCACGTGGTGGGTGTTCAGTTGGTGTGAGATGAGAGTGTAGTAGTCAGAAGAGACTTCTCATGGATCTGATTCTAACTCAACATGGCCAAGATTGAATTCCCAGACTCCCCTTATTCACTTTCTGTCCCTGGCCTCCTGAAGCGTTTTCATCTCAGCCTCTCATGTGTCAGCCTAGAATGTTTGGCAGCCTCCTCATCTTCCTTACCCTACATCCAGTCAACCAGCAAATTCTGATTCTATCCGCTACCGCTTCAGATACAGTTAGAATCTAACCACTTCCCAAATTGTACAAGCTCTTCCCACTATATTACTTACCTCACTGGATTGTTGTGTAGCCTCCTAACTTCTTTGCTTATTACCGCCCCTCCCCCCCCATCTTCTCAACACAGTGGCCAGAGGCATTCTTAGCAAGTCCCATTGTTTCACTCTGCTTAATTCAAACCAGCTTCATCTCACTCTGAAGAGAAACCAACAGATCCTATAAATCCTACTCCCTGTCCTTCTCCTTCCATCTAAGCCTTTGACTCCTTACTTTCTTCCCATGATATTCTTATTTGCTGGAATACCAGGCAGAGTCTGATGCAAGACCTTTGCCTTTTGTTTTTCTCCCAGTACACCATGGTTTGCTCTCTGTTCTCTTTCAGATCATAGCTTAAACGTCACTTCATGGTGAAGCCTCCCTCCCTCCCTCCCTCTCTCCCTCCCTCCGTCTCTCTCTTTTTTTGTTGGTGTGGGGCATGAACTCTGGGCCTGGGCCCTGTCCCTTAGCTCTTCAGCTCAAGGATAGCATTCTACCACTTGAGCCACAGCACCACTCCCAGCTTTTACTGCTTATGTGGTGCTGAGGAATTGAATCCAGGGCCTCATGCATGCAAGGCAAGCACTCTACTATTGAGCCACCTTCCCAGCCCCCCGCCCTTCTGTCTTTCTCCCCCCCCCCCCTTCTCTCTTCTCTTCTCTCCTTCTTTCCTTTCTTTTGTGCCTTGTGTGCCAGTTTTGGAGTTGAACAAAGGACCTGGCTGTGTCACTTAGTTGTTTTTGCTCAAGGCTAGCATTCTACTACTTGAGCCATAGCTCCACTTCCAGCTTTTTGTTGTTTAAATTGTAAGTAAGAGTTTCATGAACTTTCCTGCCTAAACTAGCTTTGAACTGTGAGCCTTAGTTCTTAGCCTCCTTAGTGTCTAGAAATACAAGCATGAGCCACTATACCTGGCTATAAAGCCTGTTTATGTCCCTCTCCAACCTCTGCCATTTCCTAATACCTTATTCCACATTATTAACCCTTAATACTTAATTATCACCTATTATATAGCATGTACTAATTTACTTGCTGATACCTCAGTTTCCTCATCTGTAAAATCAAGAGATGTTAATAATAGTACTTACCTCATCCTCATGGGATGAGTACTTACCTCAACTTCATGGGATTTTTTTTTTTAAAAGAGGTTTAGCTTGTTTGTTTTCAAAGATCAAGTTTCATGATGGACATCAGTCACTCACACTTGTCATCCTTGATACTTAGGAGGCCGAGATCTAAGGATTGTGTTTTGAAGGCAGCCTGAGCAGGCACATCTGAGAGACTTTTATTTCTAATTAACCAGCAAAAATAGTGGAGGTGTGGCTTAAGTGGTAGAGTACCAGTCCTGAGCCAAAACTCTAAGCAAAATTGACCAGGCTGGCCTCAAAGTAGGCTCAAGTGAACTTCCCTAGTAGCTAGTACCATGGGTGTTCACCATTGCACTTAACTATGTGTGTGATATTTTGAAGATTATTATATGTAGAGTTATTATATATAGCGCATTTTGAATAATACTCAACATATAAAGTGTTAAACATTATTTTCTTCTTCTTTTTGTCGGTCATGGGCCTTCAACTCTGGGCCTAGGCACTGTCCCTTAGCTCTTCAGCTCAGGCTAGTGCTCTACCACTTAAACCACAGCACCACTTCCAGTTTTCTGGTGGTTTATTGGAGTTAAGAGTCTTATGGACTATCCTGCCTGGACTGGCTTTGAACCATGATCCTCAGATCTCAGCCTCCTTAGTAACTAGGATTATAGGCGTAAGCCGCTGGCGATTGTCTATTTTCTTCTCTTTAAGGAACATGCTTAAAGTTAACTTCAAAAATCCAGCATTTGGGCTGGAGGTATGTCTTAGTGGTTGAATGCTTGCCTACCAATCATGAGGCTTTGAGTTTAAATCTTAGTTCTACCAAAATAAAAGACTCAACAAGAACAAAAACTCTAGACAGTCTTTTTAGCTTAGAGAAGTCAAACCATAGCCAGGCACTGGTTACTCAAACCTAGAATCCTAGCTACTCAGGAAGCTGAGACCTGAGGATTGTGGGTTCAAAGCTGGCCTGGGCAAGAAAGTCTGTGAGACTCTATCTCCAATTAACCACCAGAAAACCAGAAGTGGAGCTGTGGCTCAAAGTGGTAGAGTGCTAGCTCTGAGCAAAAAAGCTCATGGACAGTGCCCAGGCCCTGAGTACAAGCCCCCCAAAAAAGTAGAAGAGTGACTGTTCCCAGTTTTTAGTTGCTCTGTAACCATAATAATGCCAAGGCTCTGGTCTGAAATATTTTCCAGCACAATTAGGATATTCTAGCTACAGTTATAAAGTTTAGAGTTGAAGTTCGAAGAGTTCCCACATCAATTATAACACAAATGTCATATGTACCCCTTGAGTTGCAGAAGCAAATATAGTAGCTGATGAAGCGGTTGAAAAAATTCTCTGGCTGCAGTGGTTATGAGTTATGACTTCTAGAGTCACACAGCTCTAGATTGTAATTGATGATCACTGAGGGCTCAGGGCTGTGGGGGGACTGCTGTGTTGCTGTAACCCCACTTTATGTGGTGATGTTCTGGCTAGTTGGTTTGTCCCTGAGTCTCTCAGACTTACAGTAAATTACCTCCTTCACTCTCCAGCTTGCCATGAGCAAGTGATATACTACTAGCAAGCAAGCACTTTATTTCCAAACGGGAGCATATTTTTCTCATCATGCTCCATTCATTTTTTGAGTGCTCACTTATTATAATCATTTCCTTTTCAAACATATGCCATGGACATCCACACACAAACACACTCTGATGCAATTTGCCCAGAATCAAGGATCTTTTAGCTCCTCCTACTCTAAGCAATGTTTACTTTATCTTAGATTCACTCACTAAGTAATAAAAATCAAACACTTGGGCTGGAGGTGTTGCTCAGTAGTAGAACACTTGTCTAGCATTCGTGAGCACCATAGAATAGTAAGAATTAAACCCTTGTATGTGCTCATGGAGCTTACAGTCTAGAAGTCTAGGTCAAGTTTCTCGTACTGTGGGTGTGGCTTAGTGATACAGCGCTTGACAAGTTCAATCCCCAGTATTACTCCCCTCCCCCCAAAAAATTAAAAATAATTTCGGTGAAAGCTGTTTATGAACAGGTGGTTGTGGGAAATGGAAGGAGAAATAGGCTCTTCAGGGGCTGGGACTAAGAAGGGTTTCAGCTAATTTGGGTGAAAGGATGAATAAGAGGGAACTAAGTTGTTGGCATGAATGAAAACAGGACAGTGAAACCTGTGGCAGTTGTGTTAGGAAGCAGGAATCAGATGGGAGACTGATGGGGGATTGAGTGGAATACATTGTATACAAGTGTGGAAATGCCATAAGGAAATATCCCCTTGTAGCCTACTCAAGCCTGTAATCCTAGCTACACACAAGGCTAAGATCCAAGGATTGCGGTTCAAAGTCAACCTGGGCAGAAAAGTCCCAGTGGGACTCTTATCTCCAATTAGCTACACGAAAATGAAATGGGCTGTGGCTCCAAGTGATAGAGCACTAGCCTTGAGGAAAAGAGATCAGGGACAGTGCCCAGGCCCTGAGTTCAAGCCCCACAACTGACAAAAGAAAAAAATTCCCCCTTTGTATAGCTAATGTATGCTAAAAAAAAAAAAAATCCCACACATGAGCATTTACCTCATAGAGAATGAATGTATACAATGTCACCCGCACAGTGTATATATAGAATGTCACTCAAGATACCAGCAGGACAAGGTAAGTGCAAAGGGTTGCTCAGCTTTTTTCCTGGTACCAAATGAACTTTCTAGATAATTGTACTATCAGGTACCCAGTGATACCCTCACTTGAACATGTCTTCTGTTTTTTATCTTATCTGTATTTGGCAATAAGCTCCAAAACTATTTACCTAAGTTCAATTAGAGAGTAACTGAGGACATTTCAGAACAGAAGGGAAAAAATTTTTTCCTTCCATAATATACTTTGCCACTTGAGGGTGCCTAAACTCTGTTAAGATGGTTTCTTGCTGGGTGATGGTGGCTCACACCTGTAATCCTAGCTACTCAGACTGAGATCTGAGGATGGAGGTTTGAAGGTATCCTGGACAGGAAAGTGTGTGAGACTCTTTTATCTCCACTAAACTTTAAAAAAAAAAAAAAAGCCAGAAATGGAGCTGTGGTTCATATGGTAGCCTTTAGCAGAAGAAGCTCAGGGACAGAGTCCAAGCCCTGAGTTCAATCAAGATCGAGGAAGGTCACCAAAAAAAAAAAAAAAAAGTGTTTGCCAACATGTGAATTACATTTCTATCTAGTATAAAATATGTCATTCAGTGTGCAGAATCACCCCTCCCCACAGTGTATATATTGTTAAATAATTCGTTTTACTTAAATGAGTCTGATATAATAGAAGGGCATGATTCTAGACATTTTTGGTTATTAGAAACATGTTCTTTTTTCTTGTGCCAGTCCTGGGGCTTGAACTGAGGACCTGTGTGTTGTACTTGAGCTTTTTTGCTCAAGGCTAGCGCTCTATCACTTGAACCACAGCTCCACTTTCAACTTTTTGCTGGTTAATTGGAGATAAGAGAATCATGGACTTTTCTGCCTGGGTTGACTTCAGACTGTGATCCTCAGATCTCAGTCTCCCAAGTGTGTGAGCAGTGTGAGCCACTGTTACCTGGCAAAATAAAATGTTTTAAGCACCTTGGGAATGGAAGTATTCGTGTAGTTAGTATATTTCATTTAAGCAAATGAGGACATGTTTATAGCTTTCTGGAAAGAATTAGCAAAGCTAACTCTTTAAAAATGGAAATTTGGAAATCCTTTGTATGTGTGCAGGTGAAAAAAAAAAGAGGGAAAGGGAATGAACAACTGAAATTTACACTAGGGTATCTGTTACAATAGCAATAACTAAAGTAACAGAGAAGCTGCAGATGAGGAAGGTAATTAGCCTGAGATTATCATTAAGGGGCATTTTGATACATACGAAGTGAGTTTTCATAGTCCCTAGAGAGGAATGTGGTAATATAGAAACAGGTTTTGAAGAGAGTGAGAGGGTCTAATGAGTGCTACTAACAGTAACAAACACTCTGAAGTGTCATTGGAGTTTTCTGGAAGCCATTGAAATTGAACTCCAAAGATGAGGGCTGGCTGTGTACCTAGTAAGTAGAAGGTGCTGAGTTAAAAAAAAAAAAAAAAAGACCCAGTTCCTAGAATGAACTGACCCCCCCCCCCCCCATGGCTGTGCACATGCTAGGCAAACAGTCTATTACTGATCTACTACTTTTTTTTTTTTGCTGGTTGTGGGGCCTGAACTCTAGGCCTGGGCGCTGTCCCTCAGCTCTTCAGCTCAAGGCAAGCGCTCTACCACTTGAGCCACAGTGCCACTTGTGGCTTTTTCTGCTTATGTGGTGCTGAGGAATTGAACCCAGGGCCTCATGAATACAAGGCAAGCACTCTACCACTGAGCCACCTTCCCAGCCCGATCTACTACTTTTTTTTAAATTTAACTTTTTTATTATTATAAAGGTGATATACAAAGGGGTTACAGTTATATAAAGTCAGGTCTGATCTATTGAGTAACATCCCCAGCCCCAAAAATGAAACAGACTTTTTGATGATACTTTGTGAAGTGAAAAGTAGAAATTACTAGCTTAGTTTCTGGATTCATGTTAGACTCAGTCTTACATTATTTATTTATCTTTAAATTAATTTACTTTATTGTTATTATAGAGGTGATGTACAGAGAGATTACAATTACATGAGTTAGGTAATGAGTACATTTCCTTTCATATAGTGTTTTCTGTTCCCTTATTCTTTCCCAGTCCCTCCCTCCCATCTCCACCCATGAATTGTATAGTTCACTTTCATCAGTGTCCAGTGAGCTCTAACCTTTTTCCCTTGAGTTCTGTACCCTCCTCAAACTTTCCAAGATGTACACTTGAATACACCATACATAGTAGGTAAAGAGACAAAAAACATTAAAAACTAAACACTAGCTGGGTGCAGGTGGCTCATGCCTGTAATCATAGCTACCCAGGAGGCTGAATTCTGAGGATTGAGGTTCAAAGCCAGCCTGGGCAGGAAAGTCCGTAAGACTATTATCTCCAATAAACCCACTCAGAAAACCAGAAGTGGCACTGTGGCTCAAGTGCTAGAGTGCTAGCCTTGAGCTGAAGAGCTGAGGGATAGCGCCCAAGCCCAGAGTTCAAGCCTTATGACCAAAAACAAAAAACCCTAAACACACACACACAAAAAAAAGAAAAAAAAAGAGGTCTCTTATTTCCTTATCTTGTAGTTCATTTCAGTATGTATGTATATGTATATGTATATATATATATATATATATATATATATATTTTTTTTTTTTTTTTTTTTGCCAATCCTGGGGCTTGAACTCAGGGGCCTGGGCACTGTCCCTGCTTTTGCTCAAGGCTAGTACTCTACCACTTGAACCACTATACCACTTCCAGGTTTTTCTGTTCTATGTGGTACTGAGGAATTGAACCCAGGGCTTCATGCATGCAAGGCAAGCACTCTACCACTAAGCCACATTCGCAGCCCTGTATATTATTTTGTATTATTATTAAGAGGCATGTTTAGAATTTGAAATCTGAAGTCACCTATCCTCAGTTTAAATCAGTCTCTTTGTTTTCTTGGGGATAGGACATGTTTACACTGGGCATGTAAACGCAACCATGGCCAAGTGGTCTCTTACCTATTAAAATCAGGAGCTGACAAAGAGATTCTTACTACAAAAGGAGAAATGCCAGTGCAGTTAACATCAAGGAGAGAAATCAGGAAGATAATGGGAGGTGAGTGTGTGTTTGGAAGAACTTTGAATTTTATCAAACTAGTTTAAGATGTGGTATTACATCTACATTCTTGATGCTGGCCAAACAACTGGCCTATTTCTCAAAGCTACTTACTATGCCAAGATATTATTTCCATGTTATTTCTGGTCATGAGTTATAAGGTCAGCATTATAAAGTTTCTTTTTATTTGTGAAATTGAATACAATAATAAAAATAGTAATCATAAACTGAGCAAAACATTCTTTTCTGACCTGAAGAGGGAGTAAGTGCTGACAAAATATTTGTCACATACCAAAGGATATTGGCTTCCAAAAGATACTCTTTCTTAGTTATTTTTGAAGAACTATGTGAATCTTCTGTTTTCTTTTAAAGTGGAAGAAGATGATGATGACAGCCTCCCCCAGTTGAAGAAGGAGTCAGAACTGCCCTTTGTTCCCAACTATTTGGCCAACCCAGCTTTCCCTTTTATCTACAATACTTCAGTGGAGGATTCACCCCAGCTGCAGAATGGGGGCCCCTCCACTCCTCCAGAATCACCACCTGCAGACAGTTCACCTCCATTGCTCCCCTCTGGGGATCCCCCCTTGCGGGGAGCTTTCCCCCGGGACCACACCTCTTTGGCATTGGTTCAGAACGGTGATGTGTCTGCCCCCTCTGCCATACTGAGAACACAAGAAAGCACAAAGCCAGGTCCTGTTTGTCAGCCGCCTGTGAGTCAGAACCGCTCCCTGTTCTCTTCTGTCCAGTCTAAGCCACCAGTGTCACTGGAGCCTCCAAATGGGACATATGCAGGACCGGCACCAGCCTTCCAGCCATTTTTCTTTACTGGAGCATTTCCATTTAATATGCAAGGTAACTTTTCCCTGGCAAGCAGCTTCTGCAGTGAAGGAGTGAGACTTATTTATTTATTTGTTTGTTTGTTGTTTTATATATTCAGTATATAATTACAAACTTTGCAGGCTGGGAAGGTGGCTCAGTGGTAGAGTGCTGGCCTTGCATGCGAGGCCCTGGGTTTGATTCCTTAACACCACATAAACAGAAAAAGCTGGAAGTGGCTCAAGTAGTATACTGCTAGTCTTGAGCTGAATAGCTGAGGGACAGTGCCCAGGCCCAGAGTTAAAGCCCCACGACCACAAAAAAATAAAAAAAAAAATAAAAAATTACAAACTTTGAGAACACCTGTATATGGAGCTCCCTTTTCTTGGATTCACAAATTGTTTACCTTTTACTCTATTACCCTGCAATATTTGCGCATTGGTCCTATTGTATATTTCCTAGCAATAAGGATATTCTTGTATGATATTTACAAGTATTACATTTAGGAAATAGAACAGTGGTTTAATACGTATATAATTGGCAGTCCTTATTTAAATATTATTAGTAATCCCAACAAAGCCCCTGTGGGTATTTTTACACTCCCTACCCTGTTCCTGCCCAGGATCACCCATTGCATCCGCTTATGCTGTCATTTTAGTTTTTGATCTGGAACATTCTCTATCCTTTCTCTGTCATTCGTATCTCAATATTCCGAAGGGTCCAGGCCGTTTATTTGGTTGAATGTGATTTTTCTATCATTCTTAGTTTACTAGTTGATATTCCACTGAAAAGCAAGGCTTTTCCTTCCCTTTTTTTTGGGGGGGGGGTCCGGTCGTGGGCCTGAACTCTGAGCCTGGGTGCTGTCCCTCAGCTATTCAGCCCAAGGCTAGAGCTCTACCACTTGAGCCACAGCGCCACTTCCGACTTTTTGCTTATGTGGTGCTGGGGAATCAAACCCAGGGCCTCATGCATGCAATGCAAGCGCTCTACCACTGAGCCTCCTTCCCAGCCCTTTGCCTTCCCTTTTTTTTTTGGGGGGGGGTCCGGTCGTAGGGCCTGAACTCTGGGCCTGGACGCTGTCCCTCAGCTCTTCAGCTCAAGGCTAGCGCTCTACCACTTGAGCCACAGTGCCACTTCCGGCTTTTTTCTTTTTGCTTATGTGGTGCTGAGGAATCGAACCCAGGGCCTCAGGCATGCAAGGCAAGCGCTCTACCACTGGGCCACCTTCCCGGGTCTTAGATTCTTGCTTGGCTTTTACATTCAAGGCTGGAACTGAATCACTTGAGCCACAGCTCAACTTTCAGCTTTTTGCTGGTTAATTGGAGATAAGAGAGAATCTCATGGACTTTGCTTCCTAGGCTGGCTTTGAACTGTGATCCTCAGATCTCAGCCTCCTGAGTAGCTAGGATTACAGGTGTGAGCCACAGGTGCCCAGCCCTTCTCCATTTTATCAGTATGGAATTCCTTGGTTCTTATTAGATTTAGTGGGTGAGAATCTGTTCCTATCATTATTTTGATTTTCAAATTATTCCTAATGAGGCCATGGGGGCCTCTTTTTTATTTTTAATATATTTTTATTATTCGTATCCTCCCCCCCCCCCAGTCCTCCCCCACCAAAGCTGTAAAGTTCGTTTTTCGACATAACGACTTGTACATCTCATTGTTGCAATGGATCCTCCTGTATCCCTGTTTTTACAATTTGTTTTTTCCCTTCCCCTCCACATATACATGGGGGCCTCTTGAAGCTAGTTTGTAATCCCTTGGAATGTTTCCTTATTTTCTGTACAGCGAGATGCTGCAGGCTCATGCCCCAACCCAGAAATCAGCTGTTTTTTGTTTCTGTTTTGTTGTTTGTTAGGTTTGATTTCCCACCCCCCTCTTGCAGTACTGGGATTTGATCTCAGAGTCTCATGCTTGTTACCACTTTAAACACATTACCAGCCTTTTTTTGCTTTTAGTTATTTTTTCAGATATTTTAGTTATTTTTCAGCTTTTTGCCAAGGCTGCCCTCTTACCTCAGTACTCCTGCCTATGGCTCCCACTTAGCTGGGATTACAGCAGTGAATCACTATGCGTGGCTTATTATTTGAGATATAGTCTTGCTAACTTTTTTGCTTGGGTTGACCTCAAACTGTAATCCTCCTATTTCTACCTCCTGAATAGCTGGGAGTATAGCATGTATCACTGCATTTGGCAACCATTGGTTGGGTGGATTCTCCAAGGAGTTGGATAGATTCTTCTGGTTTCTTTTGGTAGAAAATGATATTTAGAAACCAAATGTGGGCACTAGGTGTCCTCATTGCTACAGGTATATAATTTCTTTGAGGCTTAATCAGATTAAAGAGCTAAGAATGGAGGAAATATGAAAGAAAGGAAAAGAAAGAAACAGTCAAATTTATTAGCCATGTATTCACATGCCCGGGTATATCAATATTTCTGTATTGATTTGTATGTATTTTCTTATGAACATTAGAAACCTTAAATTCATCCTAATAGTTCCAATTCTGCCAAGTGCCACAGGGCACATCCAGCCTTGCCTTGCCTTGCCTTTCCCCTTGGAGTCACTCTCAGTACCCATTTTCTAGGACCAAGTGCTGTGAGGACCTATACTTGGGAGTGAAGCAGATCTGCCTGTAGGTCTGTAGCAGGTCTGTAAATGCCTTGCCCATTCCATCTTGGTACTTAGGCTCAGAATGTGGAGGAAGACTGCTTCCATTTCTGACCCACAAGTAATAGCACTGAGACCCTCCTTTAGATAGATCCATCCGTCTGTCTATTTAGTGTTGGGGCTTGAACCTGAGGCTCTACTACTTGAGCCACAGCTCCATTTCTGTTTTTTAGTGTTTAATTGGAGATAAGAGGCTCATGGGCTTGCCTGCTTAGGCTGGTTTCTAACCATGATTCTTAGATCTCAAGTTCCTGAGTAGCTAGGATTATAGGCATGAGCCACTGACACCCAGCAAGGCTCTCCCTTATCAAGGGGTAGGATTTTCTTTTTTTTTTTTGTCAGTCGTGGGGCTTGAACTCTGGGCCTGGGCGCTGTCCCTCAGCTCTTCAGCTCAAGGCGAGCGCTCTACCACTTGAGCTACAGCGCCACTTCCGATTTTCTGGTGGTTTATTGGAGATAGGAGTCTCACGGTCTTTCCTGCCCGGGCTGGCTTTGAACCGCGATCCTCAGATCTCAGCCTCCTGAGTAGCTAGGATTACAGGCGTGAGCCACCAGCGCCCGGCAAGGGGTAGGATTTTCAAGTCATAAATATTAACCTTATTTAGTAAATTATCTATTTGTTCATTTATACTTTTCCTTGTAAGTTTCATATTTCATAAATACCTTTGAATTCCTACTTATTCAGTATTCTGAGAGTACATCATAGATCATAACTTGTCCTAGCCTTCATTTCAGCTCTCTCCTTTCCCTGATCTTGTGTAGTTGTTACTCAAACCCATTCTAACGTCCCTACCTCCTTAGCTATGGCAGAAGGAAGTGATCCTTCCACAGCTGGGATGGCTGCCCCTGTTGCCCCTGTACTTGCAAACCACAGTCTTAGATGCAGGGGAGACAGTTGAGGAGAACAGCTCTGACAGAGCCAGGATTGATCTGAGCAAGTCGTGCTGACCTGGTGTGGATTTCTCTTTTAATTTCGTGTTGTCTTGTTTATTATTTGCTTACCAGTCTTCTTCATAGAATTAGTGTGACCATCTTCTAAGGTCAATCTTTCACTACATGGGCTATATTATGTTAGACCATTCATGACCATTTCTCTCTCATTTTTATATAGAGCTGGTACTCAAGGTAAGGATTCAGAATCCATCTCTTCGAGAAAATGATTTCATTGAAATTGAACTGGACCGGCAGGAGCTCACCTACCAAGAACTGCTCAGAGTGAGCTGCTGTGAGCTGGGTGTTAATCCAGATCAAGTAGAGAAGATCAGAAAGTTACCCAATACTCTGTTAAGAAAGGTAAGAGAAGCCTGCTATGCCTAAGTGATTGTTTTCTGCATTTGGAAAATACCTACTTCCTCCTTGGTTATATGAGTCATAGTGGAAGAATGAAAAGCAAATAGTGGTTTTCCAAATGTCAGCAGTAAGTTTTATTTCCCTCTGCTAAGTCGATAGAGACCCTGAAATTTTGGAAAGTTGGAAGATTCAAGAGAATGTTCTGAATCATCATTCACATATATTTGTTTCCAGTTGTTTCTGTAGGGCCTTGTGGTATTACCTTATGGCACTCTTAGGTGTGCTTTGTGCCTTGTAAGACAAGACCCACATTAAGTCATAGGATGAATACCTGTGTGGTCCTGCTGCTGGCTCCAGGTTCTTGAACATCAAGCTCTGGCTTGTCTGGTCCCTTCTTTTAGATGCTCATCCTGCCACAGTGGCTGTTAGGGCTTCTGCCATCCTAACCCAGCTCATGCCCTGGAGTGAGTCACCACTTTCCTGTCTGGGATTTCATTTTCCTTCCAAATCTGAAATGAGCCAGGACACTGGTATAATCATAGTCTTCCAAACAGCTCCTCTTAGACAAGAAACGCTTAACCTGTGATCTATTTTGTTTTAGGACAAAGATGTTGCTCGACTCCAAGATTTCCAGGAACTGGAACTGGTTCTAATGATAAGTGAAAATAATTTTCTCTTCAGAAATGCTGCATCCACACTGGCTGAAAGGCCTTGCTATAACAGGAGAGCTTCAAAACTGACATACTAATGCAGCAGGGACTTTGTCACTGAATACTGTGACAATGTGTATAACCTCTGGGCCAAGGACAAGCCATTGATCCCAAAGCCTTGGATACCCACAAGGGCCCCTGGTGCCACTGCATAGTGTACATTGATGTCGTCCTGCCAAGACAGGAAGCCCCTGCTCCTCCCCCTCCCCCCCAGCAGCGGTGCCACTCTTCCAAGCCTCTTGGTGCACAATAAACCTATCACTAAAGCTTTGAACAGCTAAGAAATGGTCTGAAGAAGCAGATGCTGAGGTTCTGTGCAGTGCAGAATAGAAGAGATGAAGAAGTGGTTGAGAGAAGTGGAGCCTGCTCTAGCAACCCTTGTAGTCAGTGTGCCTGAAGAGCTGCTGCACTAATCTTGCTGCTGTGAGCCCATGACTCCTGAAATTGCCAGCTGACTAGAGAGGAAGGCTGGGGAAAGCGCAGGTTCTGGACAAAGGGATGTTAGTATGTTATGTGGCTATGAGGGTTCAAATAACGTATTTATAAATGTTACTCAGGTTCAAAGTATTTAAGATTACAGATACCTAATTGTAAATAGGCTGTTAACCAAAAGAGCTTTCCTTCCCGACCTCCCACGTCTTTATGAACACTCACAGGACTGCTTCCCCGGCGGTCATCTCTCATTTCCTCCCCTTCTCCGCCACTAGAGGGCTCTCCTGATGCTTTCTAAAAGAGCCACTGCGTTTTTACTTGGACCCAGCAACCTGTCATCCACGTGTCTCAGTGCACCACTGAAGAGCACAAACATTGCCAATCCATGTTCTCCACTCTCATTTACCACTGGAAATGAAAAGCAGTTTTTAAGTCTGAATCTGTTGCTATTTTAAAGGTTATTGGGGGAAACTGAATTAAAGGAGTAAGCATCTTTATTTTTGTATCAAAGATAAAGGTTATTTTGAAATTATTAGGATTTTTACACAGCTCTAAAATCTGTTTGCTTTTGTAAACAAATTGTTTGATCATAAGGATCCCTACTGCCACCACCAATCCACTCAAAGGTTGTGAGTCAATCAGACTAAACAATACCACTGGTTAAACTCTCTTGAGCACAGCATAAGAATTTTTTTTCAGGAATACATTAAAGGATTCTTCTTTTTCTTCAGCATCATTAATGTTTTTGTTTTTGTTTTTTAAAGTCACTGTCTTGTTGAGACAAACAGCTTAACTTTAGACATAGGAACTCAGCCCACGTAGACCAACAGGAGAGCTGGGGTTGAAGCCAGCTGTTAAAGAGCATCCCTGCTGTCTTAAGATGCTTTCTCCCATAGTGCCTAGAGTTTCTAAAGAAACTTAACTTCCTGACTGTGTTAACTTATTTTTATTAGAACGCTACATTGCGCGTGAATGTGCAGATGTCAGTGGAAGAGGATGTCGTGCTTAAGGTAATGGCCTCCTGCTGTTGCCTGAGCGCCAGAACGAGGTTGAGGTGTTCTTCTGACTTAATTCTATCCCCCAGGTGCAGCTGGTGGCTTCCTCACTCTTGTCATCGAGTGTTTGCATAGCCCATAGCTGAGTGAAGGTTGCTTATCACCTTTCTCTCAAGTGCTTTGAAGAAGAAACCACTCTTGTGATTCAACTAATTAGAAACTACTTTGTCTAGCTGTATTAAACTTTTTAAAAAAATTTTTTCTTTGAAACAAGTTAACAATTTACAGACAAAATTAAATGTGGGTCTTTCCTGAAAGAAATAAATTCTGTATTAACCCATGTCTAAATTACTGGGGTTAAAGTTTTCAAGTCACCAGATTAACTAGAGTTTCTGAGAAGCAGTGGAGGCGTTGGCTGGGAGGGAGCCTGCACAGGGTGTGCCAGCGCACGGCCCAAGCTCAGAAGGGATCCAGGTGTTAGCGGCCCAGGCAGAGGTGTCCATGTGCCTCTGTTCTGGACTAGTTCCTCCTCCCCTTCATAAAACCCTCTGTGGTGCATGCCTATGACAGCAGGTTGAGACTGCACAGTTGCCGGTAGAAGAGTTTAACGTCTTAATCTATGCATTCAGAGAAGTATTTTTATATGCACTGTGTCATTTATAATGAGGATTTTTTTTTTAGCTTTGTTAACTGTGAATTCACCCCTCCTCCACAGCATATTTAAAGCATGTGTTCACACTATGTGTAAACATTTCTTGGAAGATTCTTTTCTTTGGGCATCACAGATTCTTTATCTAACAGGTGTTATTAAAATTAAATATTCACTAACCAATCCCATTTTCTTTCATTTTGGCTTCCTAAATATCACTGTCCTCCAAATCACAGGCAAACCCAACTTACCAGGCAGTCTGAGGGAGCTAGTATACCCTACCTAAGCTGCCTCTCTACACAGTGCAGCACTCAGTGGACCTGGACATAGATTTTGTGTGGCATCTTCTCTCCCAGTTCACAGCAGTTGCTTCATTTCCCTGGAGTCTCTGAGCAAGCTAGATGGAGGTCATCCCCCATTAACCACATTTTTTGGTTATCCTATTTACTTGACACAACTGAGCCTCTCCTTTGGGCTGTCAGCACCTGTCAGCTTCTCAATGAGCTCAGAAGCAAACTCCCCCAAGACAGGAGAGGAAAACAGCCTTACACCTTCAGATCTTCAGCTGACAAGGCTGCTGAATGAACCTGCTTCTCAGTTGGTTTAGGGCAGCTAGTGCCTCACAAAGCAGACGTCATACCAAATTGGCCTAATAAATCAGAGAGCATAGCAGAGACCTTTTTCTTAGCACCAAGGAGAGGCAGAATAATTTGGGCATTTGTGCTTTCATACTTGCTTTATCACAAGGATGAAAGTTGCCTTCCATATACTCATAAACATCCTGGGCAGAAACAGCCTGCCAAAAAAAAACGTAATTAACCTTTAACAAACGGTCCTGCGGCACAGATGGACCCAAAGCATACTGAAGAAAACTAGATCAAAGTGGCCATTTCCACATCTGCAAACAAACCACTTTGGTGGGAAAGAACAGAAGTACCACTGCAAACAGTCATATCACTCTAAGATGAAGGTGAGACAGGAGGCCAGGAAACCCAGGATGGTAGCAGAGATCCAATCTGACTATCAGCCTGGTACCAAGAGGACTTTGACCTACATCAAATAAACCTGTTGGCTTGCTCAGACAGTTCATTGATAGCCCCTATGTTGTTGGCCTGCTGGGGTTAGGGAGCAAGGATGGGCCTCTGCTGGATTGAGAGCAAAGAACCCTGGGCCTCCGGACTTGTATGGAGCCTGCCTGCAGCCAACTTCTAAAGGAGTGAGGAAGTAAAGCTCCATGTGCCCTTAGCCCCTGAAGAATCCACTCAGAGGCTGGAGGATGACATGGAGCTATTCTCAGTAGCTTTCCCACAAGTCCAAGGGTCAAATTTAAGGACCTTTTCATGCATCTGCACAGCAGAGCAGAAACTACTGGCAATGGCCCAGTGAATTTTGGCTGTGAAGACAGGTTTTCCAGCCCAAAGTTTTGAGTCTGAAGTTATCAGATAGCTAAGCTGTGTAGATACGGATGAGTTCCTCCTTTGCCTTTCCCCATTCATCCAAAGGTCCTACCCCCAAACTTTGAGAAAAGGTAGGAAAAGGCAATAGCGAGTGTATACAGTCTTGACCACACAGTTTTATTCAGTCTGTACTCTATTATAATGCATTCAGGCAGCACCCAGAGTATAACAGTTGGTTCCTAGGACAATCTGACCTGGCAGTCTTCTGTTTGAAGTGAAAAAAAAATTTAAAAATAGGTTAGAAAATATGAAAAGTGTAGTGCAGTGTGAAACTAATGCCAGATTGGGAATCAAGAGACCCAGGGCTAGACGGGGCTCTCCTTCAAACTAACGGTGTCCTCTCAGGCCTTGCTTCAGCCTCATTCACGCGAGCACATGGCTGTTCTATAAGGCACTTAACAGAACAACCCTCTCACAAATGCCCCCCAATGGCTATCAAGTCCATTCAATAGACATGTGATGTCATTTTCCAGCAAAGAGCAGGAAGAAATCCCAGGAATAGATTTTAGGCAAGTCCAGCATCTTTGGCCATCCCGTAGAAGATGCCTCCAGCTGCAATGAGGTTGGTTGGAGAATCGAACTCAGCGATTATACCTTTGTCTAGGACGAGGATCCTGGACCCAAAAAAGAAAAGAAAAAGAAGTGATCAAGTCTTCATCTGCACAGCTCCAGAGTCCAATTCTCCTGCCCTTCTGGGTGCTGCTCAGGCCCCATAGTCCCATGCCAGCCCACCCACCTCAGTCTACCCACCCAGCACAGGCGCTCCATATGTGCAAGCTTGCAAAGCTGGTTATTTTTGCCTTTCTGTTAACTCCTGGCAAATGAAGCTGGTTCAGGGATCAAACACAAGGTCCTATTCATCTCTGCTAGTGTGGGCCCTGAAAACCTTCCCTAATGAGCCCTTCCCCTTGCTGGGGTCGCAGAGCTTCAGCAGGCTGAGCGCAGGGAGCCAGGGCCTGCGCTGGGCCCTGTGTACATCCATCTGCTTTGTGCCAGCTCACAAAGGCACCCGGCGGGAAACAGCTGCAGTGATGCCTGCCACTGGAATCTAGGGCTCTGGCTACAGCTCTGGCTGCTGCTGCTGTTGGGTGGATTCCCCTCACCCACCCACGCCCCACAGTTAAGCAGGCCTGCACCTGGTGCAAGGCCAACAGGCAGTTTACCCTGGGTGAGGTTAGAAGGGACAACCCTCCACCTCCCCAAGTATGGAGAGGTGATCCTCTGTGGGAAGGCTGGGCTGCTTTATGACTTCCTGCCTGCCAGGCTCTCAGAGCCACACAGAGAAAAGGAGTGTTTCTGTGGCTGTCATAGCCGCTGCTCAAATTGGGGCCAGGAGACTACCCCCGCCCCCCTCCAAAAATCACAGTCTTTAGTACTGAAGATGAGACAGGTTCTTCAGTTAAGAACCAAGTGAGTTCCCATGATCCTCAAAGTGCAGCCTTTGCTTCTCTCCACCTCTGCCCCCCACCCAGCCTAGCTCCATGTGTCTCAGCCTCTCTACCCCCAAATCCTCATTTTTCCATTCCCACCCCTTGTTCATCCTCTGCCACCTGGCTGGTACTGCTTCTCCCTTAGGGCCTGAGCAGCCCCGTGGTGGATAGACTTCCTCCCTGCTTCCTCCCTGCGGGCTGATTACAGGTTCTGTAGCCTGACCAATTGATTTCTGCCGGCATACTAGAATGAATGACCTCCTAATCCCCAAGGTGAGGCTAGGGCTGCTAACAACCCTTTTTTTTTTTTTCTTTTGCTTAGGGCTAGGATGGATCCTTTCAGTCCAGTCCTATTCCTCTCCCAAACCCTGTCCACCCTCCTTTCTCTTCCTGCAGGGCTTTGGTAGAGACAGTTCAGAAAGAGGATAACATCAGACATTCCACCTGGGCACCCCAGACCCTGCTGGCTACATGGGAACACTTCCAAGAGAAAGTCTGCCTTACCCCCTAATCATGGTCCCTCTCCACTTCCACGCTGCCCTTCCTGTGTTTACTGAGCACCTGCAAGCCTGATGATACATTTGCGCTATACTCCTTCCACATCCATGTGGCCTTGTTCCCACCTCCAGCCTCCTCCTCCCCTCAGAGCGCCCACACCTCAAGTCTCTAGGGAGCCCAGCCTGCCAGGCCAACACCAGTCTTACAGGAAGCTTCCGAGTCACCTAGCTCCTCCCCTTGCCCTCTGCCCTTTGGCATCTGGCACAAATATGTCGAGATCATAAAGTTTCCGTTCGCGAACGGCTTTCCCATGGAGGGCCCTTTTCTCAACCTTACCAGGAACTAGTGATGAGGTTACAATCAGTGGACCTGCAGGGGCTGGGAAGCAAACCAACCTTTCCCCACATGGTATTTCATATGGAGTTTAAACATCATATTTCATCGACACCGTGCAGTAGTCCCGAGAGACATCATTTTCATTTGAAATAGGCTCAGCACAGCCTTTGCAAACCACCCAAGGTTTTACAGCAACCAGAGACTGGGTCCTCTGGCTGAAAAACAGGGCTCCCACCACCACAGGAAGGGGGATTCTTACGATGCTATCAGGGGCTCATGCACCTCCAGAGCTGCTAGCTCACCAGTGACCCAGTGTGATTACCCATCACACTGTGTTAGTGAGGCGGGAACAAAGTGACAGGCACTCCCTCAATGGGTTAAGAGGGGTGGGCATGAGGGACTTTCTCCCCTCTCCCCGCCAATAGCAGGAGGCAGGATAGAAGTAGTCTATGCACAATTCCCTATGCTTGGAGACCCCCCAGATACCCTGTTCCTACATGTTGGTAACTTTAAAGTGTCCTCTGGGTCTTAGACTATGTCACTGTGCCCTTACCTCTGTACCTAGCCCAGGTAATGCTGCTCTATTTTGCTTGCCTGCCTGCCTTCCTTTCTTCCTTCTTTCCTTCCTTCCTTTCTTTCTTTCTTCCTTCCTTTTCTTCTCTTTCTTTCCTTCCTTCTTCCTCCCTCCCCCTTTCCTTCTCTTTTTTTCTTCTTCCCTCCCTCCTTCCCTTCCCCCTCTTCTTCTTTTTTTCTTTCTTCTTTCTTTTTTGGGTGCCAGGACTTGAACTCAGGGTCTGGGTGCTGTCCCTGGGTTTTTTTGTTTTGCTTTTTGTTCAAGGCTAGTACATCTACCACTTGAGCCACAGCTGCACTTCCAGCCTTTCTTGGCAGTTAATTGGAAGTAAGAGTCTCATGAAGATCTCATGGACTCTTCTGTATGGGCTAGCTTTGAATTGCAATTCTCCAGATCTCAGCTTTCTCAGTAACTAGGATTACAGGAGTGAACCACCAGTACCTGGCTTCTTGTCCACATCTTGGGAAATCCTTCTCCTAAGAGGGAACTTATTGTTATTTGTTTTTTTTTTTTTTGCCATGTGCCATTTGGATATTTATAACATAATTCAAGGGTCATACAAAAATATCAATATAGGCAGACGGGCTTCAGGCAGCCAATGAGAATGAGTCTGTTTTATCCTGTACCAAATGATTTTGAAGGCCTTATTCAGCATGTAGAATGACAAACAAAATGGTTCCCTGGCCCTGCTAGGCAATCCCAGGACTTCTCCCATCCCCAGATACCCTAATCTGCCCTGCAACCCTCTCCCCCACAAAATCAGGTCCCCTCGTCCCACCTGGTGTAGTCCATGATCGTGTTAAGCCGGTGGGCGATGGTCAGCACAGTGCAGTTTTCAAACTGGGTGCGGATGGTTGCCTGGATGAGGTCATCGGTCTCCAGATCAAT